AAATCTTATTCATTGATATAGATATAATATTAGTAAATGTACATGAGAGCTTATCAAGAATCTAGCAAATACAAAAAATAAGATTGATACTTTTCATCAATATCATCTATTAAAATTAAGATGAAAAATAACAAATCTTTGTTATAAAAAAAATATAGTTCAAGAAAGATTATATTCTAATTTCTATATTTGATTATAATTTTTATATATTTATAGAATTAACAAGATAAAAAACTAACAACCAACAAATTCAACTGAAAAGCTATTTTTTGCTAACTTATCAAATAAGACATTATGATTGTCACACAATTCAAGACAACGCAATAGAGATGAAGATCTTTAAAAAAAGACATGTTTCATTTCAAATAGATGGCAAGATGCAATGTTGTTATGTTGAAAAGTGGCATAATATGTAAAAATATTATAAAATATTATAAAAATTTAGTTTAATATAAAGAATTTTAAAAAAATAAAAAATAAAAAAAACCAAAATAAAATTAAAATATAGGAAAAAAAATGAAAGATCAAAGGAATGAAGTGGTGAAAAAAAAGATTATAGTTAGAACCTTAAATTTTGAATAGATTGCATCTTATCACAATTCAAAGAATAGGAAGTCAGTTGATTATATTTTCTTACCTGCTATTCACACTAGTAGTTCCAAGCTATACATTTCTTGTATCAATCAACAAATTTGACAAAAATCATATCCAAACTAGCTTGAAGAGTATGAATTTAACCAACCAACCAAGTTCATGACTTGGTATTTGATGTTATATACATGAGGCTTTTACTTTCTTTAAAATTTATTGAACTTCAATCCTAATTTTTATTATTTTTTTTTACCTTTCTTATATGAATCTATAAATTTATTCTTAGATAGTTTAGATGAAGAAGTTATATTAAAAAAGTAAAAATAAAGAAAATAAAAAGATAGTTATAGATATTGATAGTTTATTTCTAAAAATAAGTCAAAATAGGTTGATATAAGCTTGAGATGGAGTGATATGGTGTCGAAGTAAAGAGATATGAACTGAGGTAGAGCAATATAGGCTTGTGTTGACTTTTTGATCCATCTTTTCTTCTCCTTCATTCGAGCTTTCTTCCTTTAGATGTAGCTAGTCACTCTTTTAAGGTTTTTTCATAATATGTTTAGAATTTAGATTTGAAATTTTAAAAAAATATTCTTATTTTTATAAGAATTCTAAAAATCTTTTAAATTTAGAATTTTATTTTCTTTAATAAGAATTAGTTTGAAGATGTATTGCCTTTTGAATAAAGAAGAGTTAGCTACCTTGTATTAATATAATCTATGGCTTTCTTTGCTCATAAAGTATGTTATAAAAAAATTTAGGAAGTGAGACTTGGTATATATATATTTATGTGTGTGTGTGTGTGTGTGTGTATGTGTATGTAAACTAAGTAGGTTTTTAAAGAGCCATTACATGTTCAAATCTAACAAATTGTGAAGCTATGGTGCCTAATTGAATGAAAAAAGGTATCAATTGCCATGTATTATTAAGAGCTACTATATACAATAACTTTGGTTACTTATGAGGTTTTTATACAATGTTTTAAAGAATAAGCTTTGATATGCATATAGCATAGATAAGTAGTTTACTAAAGAAATATGACGTGCTCTATTCTAAGATAGTATAAGATTGTAGTGTTTATTCATACCAAAATTAGATCAACTACCATGAATTCTATACGTAGTAATTTTGAATGCTTGTAGAATATAAATAGTATTTTTGAGAATAAGATTTAATATATATATATATAATATATAAAGTAGTTTTTTAAAAAACTTATTATATGTTTTATTTGAAGATGGTATGAAGTAATATAATTTATTTAAATGAAAGATAGTATTTGATTATATCTAGTTGTAACCAAAAACTTTGTATTTTCCTAAAGCAAACTCTTTCTTTTTGACAATGCATTTGATATCTATTTGGAGTCTTTTTTAATATTTGGTGATTTTATTAGATGTAGAAATGATTCTTAATAGTATTATAAATATTTTATTTAAAAGAAGTTATGAAGACCTCAATAACAATCAAATAAGAAGGTTGTCTTTCTACCTTAGAATGAAATATTATTGAAAGCTAAGAGGACCTATCAACTGCCTTCAAAGGAAACAAAGATCAGAATATTTAGCAAATATAATTTGTTGTATCTTAGACTTTGTCAATATGTAATTATCACTTCTTGTGGAACTTGTCCCCAAAAGAGGGAATAATATCATGGAAAAATATAATTACTCCAATAATTATCTAAATAATATGAATAAATAGAAGTAAACTAATATAAATAAATTTAATAATATCTTATAGAGAAGCTTATTAGATGTGACTTTGACTTTATATGTATTTGAAATTAATTGATAGATTAGAAACTTAGCCAAAAAATTAGCCATATGTAGCATGTATTGGTAGCTTGTAGTATAAGCTAACTTTATAGCATACATATAGAAAATTTGCCTTGTAAGTTAAGACATGTGTCTTATAAGTTGGACATGTATCGAAGATCCTATAGAATGGTATCATGTAGCTCTTAGTTAAATAATATATATGGAGATAAGAGTGAAGTCTTCTTCATTCTTGTCAATGCCTTTTTAGTCTTTAGTCTTGTTTCAAAACTTTAGTCTTTTTGTCTTTGATAATAGCCATTTTAGTTTAATATTATACCATCTATAAATAATTTTTTAGTCTTTTTGAATGATACAAGAGTATATTGATCTTTTAGTCATTTGAAATTTATATTTTTAACAATAGGTTGGATAAAAAAAATTATGATTTATGATATTATATAATATTTCTATATCTATACTATTATTCCATAAAAAGTATTCTAATTTAATTACATGAAAAACTACATTGTAAATTTTTTAAAATTAAAATTATTTATTATTAAAAAAATAATATGTTTAATTTTTTATTATAATAAATTTTAAGTATTTTTAAATAAATATAATTATAAATATTAAAATATATTAATTTTAATTTTTAATTTTTAAAAAAATTAAAAATAAATAGATAATTAGTTATTCATTTATTATTGAATCATAAATTTTTAATTTAATAATTATTATTTTTGTAAAAACTTATAACTTTATTTAAAGACTTTATTCATATGAATCTTTTCTTTAATTTATTTTATACATATAAATATTATATAATAAATATTTAATTATTATTTTAAAAAATAGACATAAAAATATAAATTTATAAAAATATATATATATATTTAAATTATTTTATTTTTAAATGATATAGAAAATCAATAGAATACAAAATTTTAAAATTTGATATCTATTCCAATACTTTGTAGTTTTTAAAATCAAACCTTATACATTTTTTTGTAGTTTTTATAGTTGTTTAATAAAATATTTCTGTATTTTCTACATTATTGGTGTTTTGTATCTAACAAAAAAAATCCCTTTAATCTTTTGGTTATCTAATTTAAAGACATTATAAATCTAAATAATATCATTCTAATAATTTTTTTAAAATAAAGTTATATTTGAAACATGATCTTCTAGTTTTTATTTGATGTGTTGCAATATTTTTGTATTTGTGTTGGTTGTGAAACATAAAAGTTGTTGCATTTATAGATAATTGTTATGAATATGGATTATTTTTTAAAATTTTAAAAGTAAAATTTAAATATTCTTTTTTATTAATTTCAATAATCTAAATTGAATTACATAATTAGCCATACATTCTAATATTAAGTGTACATATTTAATATTTTTTGAAGTATATATTATGTCATTAAAGTGATCAATTAAAAAAGATAAAAAACATAACTTTTATAGCTCAAATCAATAGCTCAAATCAAGTTTCAAAAATTATATACTTTATCAACTTTTTTTCATTTTGTATTATATTATATCAAAAAATTGGTTCACAAGTGCAATATTTTTCTACTTAATACCAAATTTCAACATTGTGATACGGTTAATGATACCACATGAATATTATTAACACAAAACAATCTTTTTGGATTACTATTTGAATTACATTGTGCTACATAAGTGATAAAAATTGTTTTTGCAAAAATATTTATAAAAAAAAAAAAAAAAAAAAAAAAAAACCCTCTTATTTCTAAATTTTTTTTAATATAATATATATACACATACAATCAGCCCTTGTTTTGGTCAAGCTCTTGAGACCAAAAAACTTGTTGATTATATATAGAGTAGTTGAGTAGATTTGTTATTATCATTGTTGTTGTTGTTATTTTGTAAAGTGTAATTAATGTTTCAACTCTATATTTTTTCAACTATAAAAGTTTAATTTTTTAAAAGAATGAAAATCCATTCCTAAATATTTCTTTCAATTAGTTTTTTTTCTCTGTTTTATTTATTTGCAATTAATTAATGTATAATCCATAGATTTAAAAACACCATTTTCAAATTTTTATATCTTAAATTTTATTTTTTATTTTATTTTTTTATTTTTTATTTCATATTTCAAATTCTCATTAAGATTTATTAATAACATAAAATTAAAACCTCTCCAAAATTGAGAACATTTTTTGAAGAACTTTGTAGTAATTACTGCATTTTTAGATCAAATTCAATAAGACCCAACATAACTCTTCTTGTTCACTACGAAAATAAGAAACCAAAAACGATCCTTAGGCTCATGATTCTTTCAAACACAAAAGCACTACCATTAAAATAAAAATAAAAAAATGAAATTCTACTTGTTGAAAATGATTTATTCATGCATGACTCTATTTTAGAAATCAAGATAACTTTGGTGATAATTCAAAACGCAATATAATTATATTGTTATAGATTTGTACTAAAAATACATTTTGATTTGTAATGTGTGCAAATATTTGCAACTGTCCAGATACACAAACACCAACAATGTGAAAGTCAGATTCACAAGCACATACCCGCGAGCAACTCCCGGGTTTCATCCTGGTATCAACATTGTCGCGTTCACACGGAACGAAGGCGCAAAAGGAAATTAGGGCAAAGGGGGTTTGCGGCAGGGGGGTTGTAGATATGCGAAGCGCAGCGCAGAGTCTTTCCTTTCCCCATCTCTGCATTCTCCGTAGGTCTGCAGGCCTCTCGTCAACCGCGCGGCGACACGATGGTGAAGTTCCTGAAGCCCAACAAAGTGGTCGTGCTCTTGCAAGGCCGCTATGCCGGCCGCAAGGCTGTCATCGTGAAGAACTTCGACGATGGCACCAAGGAGCGTCCTTACGGCCACGCTATCGTCTGCGGCATCGCCAAGTACCCTCGCAAGGTTTGTAATTTCGCGCCCCCCGTTTGTTACCCGCATCGCCAGGCTTTTTATAACAGCTTCTGATTTTTAGGTCTACGTGCCTTTGAAGGGTTATGTTGTGAGTTAGCCTGATGGGATGCTTAGTTTCAAGTATCGTTTGTTACTGGGAACAGTAGTCGATTTGTTATTTTGGTTTAGCTTTACATGTTTTTCCGGGTTAGTTAGGGGAGAGTTCTGGACGAGAAGGTTTGTATCGCCTCTTCAGAAATTTGTGTGGATATTAGTTTATTTTTTCTGTAAAGTTTGTTTACAGCAGATTCCGAGGGTTTTACATCCTGGGTGTAGGCGCTTAGAGTAGAATGCATTGCATGTGAAGCTGTAGGGTCTTAAGTTTGATTTTAGCTTTGGCTTAAATAGGCGGTTTGTAACGAAGCATTTCACTCTTGTGATTTTTTTGTTTATTTACATATTTATTTATTAATTTTTTTCGGTGTTTCCTCACGGAGCTTGTGCTGCTCTGGAACAAACTCCGCACCCGTAGTATTTAAAGGATGATTGGGCTAGGGGAGTTAAGGTGCACGAACTCGTGCTTTCTTCTAAGTCTCTCTTCTATTCACGCATGCAGGTTATCAAGAAGGCTTCACAGAAGACCATTGCCAAGCGCTCAAGACTCAAAGCTTTTACTAAAGTGGTCAACTACAACCACATAATGCCCACCAGGTACTCACATTGTTCGTTCACTTAATCTCGCTCAGGGGGTCGTGTAAGACTTGATACGGTGTTAGAACTGGTAGTCGATGCAGCATTCGAAATCACTGCAGTCTACTTCACAGTTGCGCCTCTGTTAAATCCCAGCCTCACGTTATTTGTTCGTTTGATTCATGGGAGGCCAAAAGAATCCTGGAAGTTTCGCTGGCAACATCCGTATTGCTGGGCGCAATCCGATAGTAGCATTTCATACATTCTTCGATTATAATCTCTTGTGCTCATGCAAAGAATTGTGATTCCTGTCCCTTAAAAGGTACAACTCGGCAGTAGGGCAAGCATTCAGTCGTACTTCTTACGTTTTCTCTTATATCAGGAGGCATATGGTCAGAATCTTCCTGCTTGGTGTTTGTCGATAATATGACATATATAGGGGACTTCGATTACGTCTAGCGCGTTTGGACTTAAAGTAGCAATATTTGACGGGACTTACAAATGTGAATTGTGGCAGGTATTCCTTGGACGTGGATTTGAAGAACACCGTAACTGCCGACAAGTTGGAGTCTACAGCTAGTCGTGTAGAATCCAGAAAGGTATCACTTGCTAACGTTTCGGGGTCTCAACCATTAGTTAGTAGTCCTCAGTTTTACAGCCGCTGAGAACTTGTATTAATATCGATTACTGATCTTGTTGTTGGGTATTTGTTATGATGTGTAGAAATGCAGTTAGAACTAGTCGCTGTTGTTTCGTTCAGAAATGGGTAAATTGAATTCATGTGTTATATATCATAAATAGAGTTTTGGTAATCTGATACGAAGAGATTCGCGATTGATATCAACAGGCGGCCAAAGCTGTTTTGGAAGAGAGGTTCAAGACTGGCAAGAACAGGTGGTTTTTCTCCAAGCTTAGGTTCTGAGAAAATTTTCAAGATTTTCTGCAGTTTGAGATGAGAGAATCTCGTTCTGTTCCTGAAACTTTTTCTGGAAAGACTGGATGATGTTCTTCATTCACTACTGGAAGTCATATTTTCTCGGTTCACTTTCCTTTGAATACTTCGTTTCATTTTCACTGCATGATATGGTTGTCTCTATTTGATGAACATTGATGGTACGTCATCCTTTATAGAAAACTCCACATATTTTTGTACTTGTTTAAGTTATTAAACTTAGTCATCTCTCAAACACAGTTAATTGCCAGCTTCCCTTACTACTTGATGGTTACTTGTTATGTCCAATAGCTTGGCTTGTCATATACGGCATTTTAGCTATGCCATGACTTCAGCTTACAATTTCTCTTTCAGTCTGGTTTGCAAACATTTTTTGAATTTTAATTTATTCACTAGATAAGTACATAATGAACAACACTGGGCAAACCAACCTTATGAGTGTCGGTCCATTGGACAAGGGATGCCGTAGTAATTTACACCTGCGTCTTGCAATGAACAACAACTGCTCTGAATCTGAACCTGGCCTTTAGTAATGTTTGGCGGCATATCGTCATGACCTATTGAAAGAGAATATAAATCTGTCACATCATGTGACATTTTGCGAACTGGCTTTGGAAGTAAAATTATATTTATCACTATGAACCGGTCGTCTCCTACCCCTACAATTAATTGTTTGAACGTACTCATTGGAATCATAATACTTACACCCGTTGTAGAAACACGCATAAAATAAAGAAGAATTAAAGAAAACGACACTGTTGCAATGGTTCCAAACGTTGTGTATGTAACATTGGTTTACAAACAAATGCGCCAAATCCTGTCGTAAGTGTAGTGAAGTAGCAGTACTGAAAAATCAATTAGTTACTTCGTTTCATGGGAAAAATTGGATGCTATAAATAATCCAATTGAAGTGGTTCAATGACCAGGTTTGAATCCTTTTGATGTGTTTCACGTTAAAATCTTTCATCAACGTCTAATTTGTTTAACAACAATTTGCTAATTTAATTAACAACAATTGCTCAATAAATTCACAAAAATGGATGCTCTAAAAGGACTCATTCAAGAGCATTTCGAAAAAACTCAACACGCCTAAGTTTGCAATTCAAGGACTATAGCCCCTGCAAATCATACTTGCAGATTATACTTAAAGATCAACAAATATATAGAATATGTAAACATGTTAATCATGCACCACGCGGCGGACACCCAGTATCCTCTCAAAACCCATCAGTATAATTGCGAAGATCTCAAACACCGTGTTTAGGATCTTCGCATACAAGGCCTTGATTGTTGTAATTGTGAAGTTCCAGGCTGACACTGGCCAGTAGTATGGGTGCAGTAATCGGAAAAAAAGGCTGATAAGGTGTCTTGAATGCCGTCCAATCTACGATACCAAAATAAGTAAATTATTGAACCATCAATTTCAGGTCGTGCAAATGCAATTTCTCAGTGCAGCAAATGGTGAATGCGACGATTAGTAGCCCTTGTGATTCTTTCCAAAGTCTCATGTTATTAATACGATTTGTCCAATTAGAACTCTAGGATATACGAACTCACTGGAAAGAGGACATCCAAGGTTTCCCAAGCAGCATGTCGGACTGGCCGAGTTGGGTACATGGGTCCTCCAGGAGCTGTGAAGGAGTACAAAGCAGTTTTTAACCGTGTACTCGTGGTTGCCCGCAACTCCACACCTTCAAACAATATCATGACACATTCACTATCAGGTATTTTGGTGTGAGTTGATACAATCACAAAATGATCCAACAAGACTTTCTGACGTGAGATCCGTCTGTACGTGCAAGAAAAAGATTAATAAAGAATTATCTCATCACCTTTCAGTGCCTTCATGCTTGACAAATAATGTAGAAGCACAGGCTCCACCTTGACCTTCTGTAACTGAAAGTCTCATCAAACAAAGAAAAATGCTGGAAACAGATCAGAATATAAACTCAATATAAATAAATAAATAAATAATCATGAAATATCTTGTGTTAGAAAAGAAAACACTCCAAACAGATATATCATCTGCAAGCATTAAAAAAGAATTTAAAGAAGACATGCACCTGATCTGTAAGCTCCGTGACAAACATATCAGCTGGTTCAAGGACAACGTTGGATGACTTCGGTACATTCTTCAAATAGTACCCCAATCTGTCGGCTACACAAGTCTCAAAAGAGAAACTTTCTTGGTCTGTTATCTAAAACAATGATTGCAACTGACGTTTTGACATACACTGACTTCTTCCTTTGCCTTTGAGAGACGTAGCAAAACCTTCAGAAAGCATAGTACAGGTACATCCAGTATACATTAGATTCAAATAAGTCACTAGTACCTGGTTCATAGTATAACAGGTACCGAGAAACCAATAAAAGAAGATCTTGTCGAGCCTGCCCATTCAACAATAGAAAAATAATTGCACTACATCAGCGATCGAGAATCTATAATCCTATTTCTACAGAAGTCTGAGAACTACACAGCAGAACTTGGGCGCTGACTTAAAACAATCCAGAAAACCAATCATGCTAGCTAGGACCGGAGTACGCCATAATAACCCGAAAAGTTAGAAAGCTGCACCTGAATGGGAACCCTTGTGAGACGCTCAGAGTCTAAGACAACCTCCTCAAATGTATACTACAATCAGAACACCAGTCAAGATGAGGATATAGAATAAGACCAACACATTGACTCATCAGAACTCATACAGAGAACGAAGATTTTCTGGAGCACATTACAGCATATGAAATGCACAAAACAATCCAGTTACAAAACGAGCATAGCTATATATCCGAAGTTCTGCAAGGAGCTTAACAATGAGGAATGAGAGGCCAAAGACAATAGAATGAAATTAAGTCAGACAAAGAAAAGCAAAAACACCTTACATTAAACATGGAGTAAAATCGCCGCACATTACTTTGCAAATCAATCCAAAATATATTGCTTGCGCCCTCTACAAACGCTGTTGAGTATCGCAAAAACCCCTCTGACTCTTCTCTGGGAATCTCAAACAACTGTCAAATCCAGTAAGATTCTGTCAGAAGTAGATTCTGTCGTTCAAGCTGGTTCAAATAATTAAATGAGCCTCAAAATGAGTTGTATATATATATATATATATATATGTGTGTGTGTGTGTGTGTGTGTGTGTGTGTGTACGATTCAACTAAGACCAAAGATGAAACCTGACTACAAAATTAAATTGGTTTCATAGAATAAATTACCCAGCGATGGAAGAGCAGCGCAAATATTTGAGAAACAAATGATTGACTCCATAATTGTAGAAACAGAGGAAGGATTTCCTTTCCATCCTCCGGAACTTGGGTATAGTGTTGTGCGAAAATTTCATAGAAGCATGGGCGTGGGTATGTGCCGTTTGCATTCACAGAACCACCATTCTCAACACCGTCGGCAGCTTGTGAAGAACCATAAAGTCTCTCTGCGAAAACGACATTCCCATTACACCTCAGGTTGGTAATGAATTGCAAATCCATAGCCAGCCTTCACACTGAGATGAAATATACTCTGAAGCTAGAGTGCAAACGCCAAACTTATACTACATAAACAATATTCCACGATGTAACCTATTCGCACAACAAGATCACCTGACCATTACAAGAATGTTATGGCTAATCGTGATCAGATGAATTAGTTGTGAACTTTAAAACGGAAGCTTTTTCTTACCTAGAGCACGCTTGTCCACTTCTAAGGCAACGTCAGTAAAAAGTTGCCGCAATAATTCTCCTCTTTGAGCGGGATAATCAAGTGCCTGCAATCGACGTATAGTCATAAAATTGGAGAAATATGAAAATAGTTTAAATTTGGTGTCCATAGTCAAAAATGTAAAACTACGTGTTGTGAAAATAACTCTGCTTGATTGGAACATAAATCTTTCTAAAAGATATTTTCTTCTCCACTCAGTAGCATTTATGCTTTCCCCAGTACCTTCTGCAACTTGCGCTGGACTTCTTGGGTTAACTTCTTCCTAAAAGACGAGGGTGTGAGTTCACGCCGCTGCAAACTGCGCCCTCCCATCCGCCCTTCAGCAGAACGACCAGTTCTTTCAACTGCTTCACATATTACCATCAGCGAATCCTAAATAAGTTATCCACCACAATCAAACTCTAATCACCCTACGATTCTCCAAGTTGTGCCAAATTCGGTCCTCCACCCACCCTCTGATTCGATGCTTCAAAATCAAATATAGAAACCAAACTGTTGAGTTCGCCGGCAACCGTAAAACAATATCGACACGAGGTTATAATAGCTGTTATTTACGCCAATTCTTTGCCGGTCATCTGTACCTGTACCACAGAATACACAACCAGCTGTTGAATAACCTCTTCACATATATTAAGGCACACTCCAGCTGAGCTACAAGCAAACATATCTTGCAAAATGCAACTGGAGAGTGTCAAGACATACAAGAATTGAATAAGGCAGTGAGGAATGTAAAGCAGTTCACTTCAAAAGGTCAAGTTCGACTGAAGGTTCAATATACCGAAGGATTGGTCGGTGTCCAACGCATTTATCAAATTGCACTCATTCGCCTCTACCCACAACTCGAATCAATGCTTTAAAGCTCACATTCAACGAGAAAAGAAATGTTCAATGAAAATTCTCAAATCTTTCGAGTTCTAAAGAACGAATAATAACGGTTGATGCACTTAATCGCGTTCGTTTCGTCCATAACCCACAATCAGAAAGCGAAAGGATCCTGTGACATGAATGCAGTAGTAGAATCGCATCCTCTTAAGACCGCAAACCAAGGGAAAAATATTTGCTCCCCTAATCCCTAGGATAGGTCAAGACAGGATTGGAGAAAGATCAATGCCTAAAACCTTCATATTAATTCAAAGAGCATGGTGACTATCCTTTAAACTTTCAATGTGTCAAGAAAGCTCTTCTCGAAGACAGGGGCAAGAAACAGCAATTAGCGCTCAAGGTACAATCACTCGGAAAAGATCCGCTGCAGCTCAACAATCAATTACTAGCACATGAAAAGCGTAAGATGCGTCCGAAGATGTGCATTTTGCTAATCTATTCGCGAAGATTCCAAATCGCTGACAGCTCTGAAGTTATGAATATAATTCACCGCAGTTCTACCTTGTCATCACCAACGTACATCGGCAGCTAAATTCAACTCACGGCAATTAAAGAACCAAGAAAAGAGACAAGTATGTATCGTTCGCCACACACTCTGGAGACAATCGGTCCAAAAGTCGAAGAAACAACAGTCACGGCGCTTAATCCACCAAAACTACGAGAAAAGCCACGAGAAATTCCCGCCACCAGCCCAGAATCCACAGTTCCAGCAATTGCAGGACCTTTCCACCTCGAACACCAGCTGCCCTCTGAATCCTTCCCACCACAAGAAATCCGGCGAGATAACTCACCCCGACAAAAGAATCCAGAGTGACTCCCACAAGCCCGAACACTCCAAACCGATTGGAAACACCGAAACTATGAACTAAGCTCACACAAGCTTCAAAGTCGAAACCCACCTCTGGTTCTGCAAGGCAACAAAAGTCTGACGTAGTGTCTGGTAAGAACACCGTCAGAGAATAACACTTGGTGTCACATGAAAACGGAGCCTATAGTGAACGGTAACTCGGAAAACACCGAACTCAAATTTATCAGGGTAGAATTAGGGCGGGGAGAAGACGACCTCCCGTTAAGCACAGCGGCAGATACGGTTGCATTGAATTCGGCCTACTCTCTCGGGCACGACTCAGCAACTAATTCTTACCAGGACCACATTAAATTCGTAATTTCTGTCGATGCGGTGTGCGCCTCTCGTATTCTGCGGCGATAAGCATGACTCTAAATCGGCCAAGTTGGAGTAATTTCTTCTCTGGATTGGGATAACATCATTTGGAAGCAGAAGCTTTACATTTATTAGTGCACACCAGTCTATACATTGATTGGAGTGTTGGAATCGCATACTACATGACTCACGCTTGTCGCATTTCCAGTTGCTTGCCAGCTGTCTTCTCAACATGCTTTTTACACTAGGCTGCATAACTTGCAAAGATCGGGAGCCGGAGCAACAAAATTGAGCAAACCAGAAGGAATCCCCATGCTTCAAGATTCTGGCATCGCAATTATCTTTACATGGGGCCACTCAATCCACACCAGGTGTAAAGATAGTGGTGCTTCGGGGACACTTGTTCTTGTGTACGACTTGTTGAAAGACAGCGAATTGAGTCCAGTGAAGTGTTGTTCAAAAAGAAAATTAGTTGACTTGAACTCACTTATTCCTTCTGGACTGCCCAGCATTATTCGCTAGCACATCAGCATTGACAGCTGAAAGATTAGGTTGAACGACTACCTCAAAAAAAAAAAAAAAAAAAAAAAATGCAAAAATTACAGAACTGTTCGCAAGCTCACTGGTGTCGTGAATTTTAGGTTTACGCCACACTCCAATGGAATGGTCAGCAATGAATTGACTTAGAGCTGATTCTGAGATGCCTGACCAATTTGGCTGGCTACACCGGCAGCCATTCACAAGTCTGGTGGGTAATCATCATCACATACACCAATTTTAAAATCATTCAACTGGCAAGAACATGGTCATCTTCGCTTCGCACGTTTTTCAGGCACGGGTAAAAATTCTACAACAGGATGACTGCACGACCTCAAAGAACGCCACACGACAGCAATTTAAAAGGCAATCCACAAAGCCCTGATATTGAAATCACTGCAACTGTGCTAGGGCCTGCAAGGACTTGATTACCTATAGCCTAAACCCTGAAAATTACAAAGGCATGCAGTACGTAAGACATACAAGACTTTTATTCAGCAATGAAAACTGTCAACTTTTTTTTTTTTTTTTTTTTTTTTTTTTTTCCAGGACGCAGAAAATTGCACGTTATGATAGTTCCACTCTTTAAAGTTTCATGGGCAATTACTGGAGAACTTCGAAATTACTTCCGTTCAGCAAGATTGACATAGCTTAATCCAAGCAGACGGGTGGAATGGAAGAGAGAGAATCCCAATTGAAAAAGGAATAAATGCTGGCACCATTGGATAAACCCATGAGAGATACTGAATACAACTGCAATTAAAGACCGTCGCAACACACCGCCAAACGCTACGAAGAGTGACAAACAAAATTATGCAACGAAGCACACACGACAGGTGCAAATAGAGCGAGTATGCCAATCAAAAGAGTAAGGACAAAGCCATTTCTTCATTTATTGAGCATACTCATAAGAGAAATCATTTAAGCCAAGCATCGTACTAACAGTCAGGTACACGAGATACAGAGTGCCGAATACCGCTATAGCAACCAAGATTTGCGTCGACGGGTCTTTCAAAAGATCCAACAGCGGCTTCGTCAAGCTGTACAATCCTCCGGACACCACAGTGAAGAAGTAAAAACCATACCGCCGAACATTATCCCAAAACTCCTCCAACAGTGGTCCTTCGGGCCCCAATGCCAGCGCACGCTCGTCAGGAAGACAAAACAGAGCAAGCGCGAGACTACCTATAGCTAACTCCCGAGCATTTTCCCTCACAAATCTCTCCAGGGTGCCATTAGCGGACCCTAAGAACTCACTAACCGAAACACAATCCAAGCTACTCACTCGCTCATTAATCTCATCCTCATTATATTTACAAGTGGCCAATTCCTCCATCCGTGGCAATATATCCGCCTGTGAATCAACTAAGCCACGAACCAGAACCTCGGGGGTTGATGGAGCTAGGGTTAGTGGAGCCAATTTCACCTGCTTCGAGCGACGAGTTACAGGTAATCTCGACGTCGTCCCCGGCGCTGCCAATCGCGACACCGACGTCCGAGGCCCACAAAACAGAGTCGAAATCGAGGTTGAAGCTTGCAGAGTCGCCATAGCTTGCAATGCAGAGCGCCACAAATATCCTCCTCTGCTCAATTGCGAGCTCCCCTTGCAAACACCGAGTGTGCCTCGCGGTGGTGAAGAAGCAAGCCGACGACAACGACGACGTCGATGATGAGGACGACGACGACGACGACGACGATCCCATGTAAGCGACAGAAGTTGACGAGGACCAACAACGTCCGTCCATGGGTGGATAACGGACCCCCTCGCCGACCCATCTCATTTCACGACGTGGGGATTTGCTGCCACGAGGGCTCGATGGAGTCCACGTGTGTGAAGTTTTTTAATTATTTTTTATTTATTTTTTCATTATTTTTCTTATTTTTCTCTTTACAAAAAGGGTTTTAGAAGTTGGAAAAGTGATTGTTTTACAAAATAAAAAATAAAAAAATAAAAAAAATAAAATGTGGGTTTTATATGGTGGTGAACAAGGCCATGATCTTGAATTTTGATTGTTGTGCACATTGCACGTATATTTTTTAATTTTTTATTTCTTTGATCTTTGACGTTATAAAACAAAACCCCTAATAATATAACCTTTAATTGCCATCTTTGATCCATCTTGTTTTCCTCCTCTTTCTCTCTTGTTGTTGTTGTTGTTTTGTTATATATATGTGTGTGTGTGTGTTTTTTCATCATCTTAGCTTCTTTAAAAACATTTCCATGTATATGGTAGAAGAAGGAATCATGATGCTCAAATAATAATAAATTGGTCTTATTAAAAGTAATCTTATTTGAGTCATGGATGCAGTGCGGTAGAAGATACTGTTAAAGTGTTAAAATCAACAGTTACTATAGAAGAGGTAAATGTAGTGCCGAAAGATTATGAATGGAATGACCTGTTCAATTGCATTGCAATTTTACATCCTACAAGTAGTTTTCTACAATTTTGTGCACATTGTGCAATGCAAAGAACTGTAATTAGTATTGTGTGCATTGTAGTAGTGTTTTTTCTTTTTGTCTTTTTTCATTTGTTGTGGTACATGACATGTCGAAACCTGCAGCAGTATTCCAAAAGGAATGTTAAATTAAATTAGTCTTATTTTTACTTTTCAATACAACAAGAGGTACTTCTTCAATATTATTTGATGTCATCTTGTACTACAGGTAACATTTAACTGGCAGCTTATGGTTCAAGATCACACAACAATAAAAACACTCTTGGATTAAAATGGATTGAATTTTGAACTTTTGTTGAATTTTAATGGATGTCTAGATTGTACAATTAAATTGTAACAAAAATGTAAAGAGTATGATCGTGTTTTGTTCATTAAAAACACACATGGTTATATGTGTCTTTACACTACATAAAATCATGTATGCATTTGAACAATGAATATTTTTATAATTAAAAATCTCTTATATATATATATATATATATATATATAATGCACCATATTTTAAAAAATAAAATGTAAATGTATTAGGCATACTTTATACCCTCATGTATAAATTACATTGTGTTCTTAATTATAAGTTAATTAATAATGAAATAAAAACGATTAATTTGAATGTCAGGTCTGATAGAAACAATGACAATCTAAAAGAGATAATTTTAATCTTGATGATTCTATATAAAATGATAAGATGTATTTGTGATTTACATATAAGCATACTTGAGAAAATGTCAACCATTTATCCTAAAATTTCTCTTTTAAAATTTATTTAAATTTTTTAAAATTGTAATTTCTGTTCCTCTTAACTAGTTAGAACATCACCAATAAAGATAATTCTAAACTACTTGTTGAACATATACACCAGATTTATGAACTTCCAACAGATTAAAGAGTAAATTGAAGGACCAAAGTTTTGCCTAATTTTTGAAAAATATCATTTAAAATTTTAGGAATTAAATTAAGTATTTAAGCAAAAATAATATATAAATATATGGTATAATTAAATATGTTATCTAAATTCTAAAACAAAAGCTATAACATAGATTAAAGTATTCAAAAGTTAATTAGTTAAACTTTCATGCAGCATTTTTACTTGATTTAAATATATATATATATATATATATATATATATATATTCACAACAATAAAAATAAAATAATCTATCTAGCTAGCTAGCTATTTGCTTAAAACTATGTAAAACAATTAAATGTTTGAAGTTAATGTATTTGCCTAAATTTAAATTTTTATAATTAAAATATAGTATACATTGTATTACACTAAAATCACACTAGTTTAATAAGACTTTTTTTGGGCTTGCATCAAGTGTCTAGTAGACAAACATCATTGTATAGATGATCATCTAAAGACAATATTTGGATAAACAAATATTACATTTGTCTCATATCCTTTAAGAATAAGATTTTATGCTTAATAAATAGAGAACTATTATCCCCCTAATATGATTGTATGCACTTATGGATGATACTTGCCAAAGTAATGTGACAACACAATATTAGCAAAACAATAAACAAGGAGATAAAGAGTTATGATAGTGAAACCAAAATTAACAAAGACACAATAAGATAGAAGAATATTTAAAGATTGAGAGAAACACAATGGAGCAATCAAGAATTAGCATAATGCATAGTTAGATCTATCCAGTAATGTTATGAGGTAGAATAGTGTTGGGCGGAAGGTCATGTGAATTTTGGGTAAGTTAATAAATGAAAACTTATTTTTTTGATTGTTGGATATCTTATGTTTGATTTTAGAAGGTATTGTCTTGTGCTTGCTTGTAATCTTGAAAGCCCAAGTAACAAAAACAAAGGCAATAATGTAACATGTATATATTTTTCAACAACAAAAATAACATGTTATAATACAAGTCATCAATAGATGTATTATAATATTAGAAGTTTCAAGATTAAATCAATCTATTGATATTAATTAGAATGATTTTTCTTGTTTAATGATATTTTTTATATTTACACACAGACACACATACACACACACACACACACACACATATATATATATATATATATATAACTTTTTTCTTTAAGTAAAATAATTTTTTAGACTAGTAATATTTAATATTTTCTAAGATAAATATGGAATTATTTCTAAATGTATATATATATATATATATATATTTGGATAAAAATACATACCACTTTGATGATTAGCTCCATTTTAGTTCAATATATAAGACTAGTATAGTTGTTGTGTAAATAAAGATCATTGTATACAACAAATTGAGTGTCAAAAATCAACATCAAGTATGCAATCTAAATCAAATAAGAATGCACAAGCAATGCACTTTTAAGGAATGATGTAAAATCTAAACATGACCTAATCAAGCTATCTTTTACACCACAAAAAGAGAGTCTAAGAATGCAAGTGTGAAAAGAAAAAAGAAAAATCCTAAAACTTTACTAAATGGCTTAATCACCATAGCCAAACAAAATCTTACAAACATAACCATTCACAAGATTTGAGAAAGCAAGATAACAAGATTAGTCCAATGAAAGGTAAATTCAAGGTGAGAGTAGTCTAAAGGAAGATACAATACCTTCAACCAATATGGTGTGGATTGATAAATCATAAATGGAGCCACAAATTGAGTTTGAATATGAGGGCCTTTGTGATTGTCCAAACGCATCCTCACTATTGGGTAAAAATCTCTCTTGTAAATGTTCTTCGTGCAAATTATAAAAACATTAACTCAACAAAAAAAGAGTACAATCTCTTGTTTGTTGCCCCCAAGTTCATGGCAACAAGCAGACTGCAAAGCAAGAAGCAGAGAATCCTCTGCCCTAAACTTAACCTCCCATGGATGACAGATAGACAGACAGACAGTCCATTACAAAGAGCCCCATGAACGAGGAATTCATGGACTCACTCACTCACAAAACAGTTTCGTGCCCTGTGAAGCACAGAAAGAAAGAATGGACTCATGGCACCACCACCACGCGAACACGCTCACGATCAGCGCCACCGCCGCAGGAAGCCTCGGCGGACATTCAACGAGGGTTGCTGGGATCGTGGCCATTATGCATCATCGCGCATAGTTGCGAAATCCAGGGCATGGCGAGAGCACCGGCGTATCAATCTATCAATCCCCGCTTCCCCTTACGCTGTAGTTTCGCACCTTTTCCTCGACTATCTGGGCCTTGTGGGGCGGTCTTGGTCTCCCCCCCCCCCCCCCCGGATCCCGTTTGCCCGCCTTCGGCCCCGAGTTCTGGATCTCTGTGCCCCCAATAACTCAATGTTCTTACGGTCTTGTGGCATTGATGTGCTCTGGAGGTGGCGTAGCACGGGCGCCCAAGGTCTCGGATCTTAATCGGTGCCTTTGTTGATACTATTACTACTACCACTGTTGGGTGGTGTGTGTGCTCTTGGGTGTGTGCGTTGTTGCTGAGAAGGTATGCTGTGTAGTGGAAAAAGAGAGAGACAGATTCTCTCTCATTCTTTCCAGAGCGTCATTGTTCTTGTACCCCATATTATACTTGGGTGATTCTCCTCATCTTGCCCAGTGCTCTTTTTCTTCTTCTTGTTGCATTGTCTTTTTCTTGTCTTTATATGTATTTTTTTTTTTTAGTTTTTCGATTCGAAGTTGCGCTGCATTGTAGATGTATCTTGTATGTGTCTTTTTAACTGCGGTGGTGCATTACTCAAGGAGACAGAGTTGTTTGCTTGTGTTTTTTCCCCACTCTGAGCGGCTTGATGAACAGGTCGATGAAACGGGGGGATGTTTTTGGCTTTTAACAGAACGATTCTGCATATAGGTGTTGGTATGTTGAGTTGGGGGACGAACTTTCACTCAGGATACGATTAGTTTTCGGAGCTTCGTTGCAGATCTGGAGCCATTGGTTTCCTGTTGGATATATCGATTGCCTGGTGCGACGAAGCATTGCATCGTGTGAACTATGCATTGTTCCGCATCTGGTTGCAACGGCGCACTGGGATGAACACTTGAGTTCGACGTGAAAGCGTGGATCACTGATCTGGGTTAAGTCAGATCTGTATCTCGTTGTGATAATCTCTGAAATCTACTTTTGTTTGCAGGCATGCACGCGAAGCAGCCGAACACGTTACTTTGCTGGATGATGAAATCTGCCGAGTTACGAATCCTTCTTGACCCAACTCCTGGGCACCACCTGTGAATCTGTTCTCACATTGTAGCATTCACCCAAAAATATAGTGCTCATCTCTTCTCTAGACCTTCTGTTCTGTGGCCGTAGTCCGGGTACTCGAAGTTCATCATGGTGGGGTGTACAAGGAGCAGGAGACTGGTCAATGTCTCCCACATTGTTATTTTCGTTCTTCTCGCCTATACCACTACTACTTCCGCTCTTGGCCTATCCAACACGGATTCCTCGTGTCATGGATCTCGACGGTGCCTTCAGCAATTTGAATTCGGACCTCCGGTACCGGCTCCTGCATCAGAACCTGCACCGAATGATCCACTAGCACCCGATAATTCGCCTCCAGCACCCCCTGCGGATTTCTTGGGTTCACCTCCCTCTCCAACTCCCGAACCGCAACCAGTACTCCCATCACCTACTCCATCTCCAGTTGCTGATCCAGTTCTCCCAGGTCCTGCTCGAACTCCCGGACAGACCCTACCTCCTCCAGCACCTGCTCCAACACCCGTGGGTGCAGGTCCAGCACCAGTCATTCCGCCATTTGGGTCTGTGTCACCTGTGCCATCGCTGGCTCCAGCCGTTTTACCTCCTACTGGTGGGTTCGTCCCCGTCGTTCCATCGCCTACTCCTGCGTTGCCACCTAAATTATCCCCTACAGTTGCTCCTGCGTCTCCCCCTCCTTCAATCGCTCCTCCCCCTCCTGGAACTGACGATTCTCCTCCGTCCCCACCAACCCCCAGTGTGGTGCTTCCTCCTGCTTCCCCAGCAGCTGCATCCAGCTCAGAGTCTTCCAACAAATCAACAGTCAAAGCTGCTGTAGGCGCCACTGTCGGAGTTTTCTTGTTTGCTTTGGTCGCATTAGGGTTGATCGTGTTCTTCAAGCCAGAATGGCTGCCATGTTGCGGGGAGGACAGAAGACGGCAAGCTCAGTATGAGCGCCACATCACTGACTTCTAATTTAGTGTGAAACAGTTTGGGATTCGGTGGATTTTAGCGATATGACAGCCATTGCTATTCGACTGGGCCGGTGCAGCGCAACTTGTGCTCAAGACAGAAGGTCTGAGATTGGACCCAGCTCCAAGCCTTTCAGAGGATCAAACCAGCTGAGGAGTTGATCTTCATCCCAATTTGCTTGACTGAGAACTTGTAGTAGGGTTTTCTTGTGAGCATCTACAGCCGTCTACTTTTTAGATGGCTTCCGTAACGACAACAATGTAGGATTTTGGCAGGAGCAGCTTAGAGACCCAGCAGCCTCATTAACTACACACCAGGTGTTTTGAGGTCCAACTGCGGTGGAGTCGTGTAAGCCATCAGTCGTTAGGATTCGGCATTCCTTTGGAACCTTCTTCAGGTCCACAATTTGTTTGGTCTTGAAGGATTCCCTACTTGCTACGCCATGAATCCTTCTTTATATGAAATTAATACGCAGTCTTCTCCACATGTCGGGCACCAGATCATGCACCATCCGCAAGACTCATGCACGCTCCTCATGCATTTTTAAACAAAAATTATTGTCAGATCATTACACTGGTTGTAGTTTCTGTTTTTATTTATTTATTTATTTTTCTTGACGTTTTTGGCTGCAGTCCTAACTGTTGGACATTCATATGTACATTTTTGCGGCATTATATGGGAGTTGAAATCCGTTTGTGTTAAGCGTGAATTTATATACTTCATTTCAGAAAATTACGTTGAATCCAAGGAAGCATATGTGTTACTAAGTTAGACAACGATAACTTTGACCAATCTGGAAATCATACAACTTTTAGCATATGCAGAGGAATACCTTGTTCTTTATGCACATTTTAAGTGCAAATCAATATCCAAGGTGGATCGTATTTTTAGGTTTTTAATGCCTTGATCCGTAGCAACCACAGACTGGACTAGGTAGAAAGTGAGCTTTTCAAAAATGGGTGTTACTCATCTCATTTTTGTGAGGAGGAAAAGTTTCTTGAGTAGTTATAACATGCAACCCCAATATTCACACCAGTACACGATTCTTTTATTTGAGTAAGCATTCAAAACTAAAAGAAACTACAATGTGTACGAGAGTAAAACATTTGCTTTAAAAATATTATGAAATTTTGTATTGTCAATATGTACACCCTAATATTCTTGAGAGAATCAATCTTTTATTTTTTAGATAATTCCTTTCTCAATGATAAAGACCACTTTTTATTCATTTACAAATGTTGAGGTGTATAATTTAGTGTGCTCTAATTTAAGACTTATTATTTTTTAAGGTATTACTAAGCGAGTCTTATCCTGAGGGAGGAGTTGACAGGCTGCGATTTTTAAGTTCTTTAATTGGTAAAAATCAAAAGTCTCACATGATCATCTTTATATGACATAAAGAATTTTGTCTCCTACAAATTTGCAATAGGCCCACAAAAAAAAATTACATGAGAACTACACCAAAAAAATAAAAATAAAAAATTGTGAAAACTCCAACTTTGATCAAGTATTCAAAATTCCATACAACTTTTATACAGAACATACAAGCCAAACAATAATCATTTGGAATTAATTATCAAAGATTGAATCCTTCCATAATCTTGCATCAATTATGAATTGAGTAGAGTTAATGAATCCTCATCTATTGCTTCTACCTATTATCCAACTTTATTTTGTTAGTCATGCATGTTGTAGAACAAAAACATTATCAATTTTATACTTCCGTCTTCTTCTTCTTTTTCTTCACCTTTTTTTTTTTTTTTTTTTTTTTTTTTTTTTTCTTCAAATTGAAACCAATCACAAAATAAAACTAATGTATGTTTTGAGTTCTTGGTCTAACAGTAACCACTGAGGTACTCTGTACATTATAACAAATCAATAGAAAAGCTAGTTTTGATTATTATAGTGTTCAAGGTTAATGCTAAATTAATAAAACTACTTAAATGGTTATAATCATAAATACATTCACTTGAAGATAAATATATATTTTTCTGAAACAAATCAAAATTGCATAATCACAATTCAATTGTATTCAAATAGGATACTATTAACAGAATCACAATAAAACAATCCGTGAGCAGTTTTCATGGAAATAATTAAAAAATTGTCAATTGACTCATGGAAAAAATAAATTATCGTACATGGTTATATTTTCAAAATTAAAGAACACCTTCAAGTATTGCATAACGTGATTGTTTACAAAGAAGAAAACAACGTAAATCAACAAAATTAACAAATAAGTGTACATGTTTCTTTTTCTTAATTAAATCGTGCATCATGAGCTAAATTTGTGAAATCAATTTCAAAGAAGGCAAGCTTTTTCTTTCTTCATAATAAGTGCTTTCGTATCCAAGGTAATCTTTGCTTTTTTACTTTGTCCCACACTAACCCCTTTTTCCCAACGAAGTTCGTCGACGAAGAGGGCGACGAGAACGATGGCGACGATATTGTCGACGACAACGAACGAGAGTGTGAGAGAAAGTCCGAGCCAAAGCCCTAAACCCTCTTCTTCATTTCAGTGCGAGGGCCCGATTGTGTCTCCCTGCTCGCTCGTTGCCTCGCCTCGATTGTGCTCAATCATCGCCTGTTTTGATTGTGTCCTCAGATTGCCTAGCAGCAAGAGCTGCAGAACGAGCTATTATGGACAGTACGTCGTCTGACCAACACCACCACCACCACAAGAAGAAGAAGAAATCGGCGTCGAAAGTAGTGGAGCAGGATGTGAGGATGGACTATGTGCCTTCGAAGGAGGGCCGGGCGCGCCCTTTCGTAGCCTACTTCCCCACGGGGTTCGATCCCCTCGGGGAGGCTGATCACGGCGATGCTGCTGCTGCGTTGTCGAGCGTCAAGGTGTACCAAGGTGTGGACAAGCTGAAGGCGAAGCAGACGCAATTGGTGGCGTCGACGCACGGGCAGGTGGATTTTGTTGGGTTGAACTACGCCGGCGAAGCGGCTGCTTGGCAGCCCTGTAGTTACGCACTGGGCGTTTACGATAAGGAGAAAGGTACCTTGCAGCTGGTTCCTCTTGCTGGAGAAAAGGTAGCTCACTTCATTGTTGGGTTCTTGTAAAGTTGGAAATCTATGTCTGGTTGCTTATCGAACGAATTGTGATATTATACACTTTCTGCAGGAATTTGTTTGTTGTTTCTGGATTTGAAGAATGTGACAGTTGTTGAACATTATTATGGTTGCTTGAATTCCTCATATTGTCTCAGGGCATCGTAGATGTGGTCAGGAAGGTTAGGTTCGGTCTTGTTAGTGGATTCATGGTTTACGTCGGCGGTTCTAAGACGATTGGGTTTGACGTATAAAATATTACAACATTAGGATGAGCAGAGCTGATTCTGAGTCTACTGGAATTTACGATGGATACCAATTTGGTTTGATGCATGCTAAGATTTTATATGCTCCTTTGTTTTCGCCATATTACTGTGGATCGAGGCTCTCGCCAACTAGTGCTGAAAGTAGTTTAGCCTAACTTCATCTTCATCTAGATTCTCAGAATGGAGCCAAGAGTTAGGGGCATGAGTTATGAATGGACGGATGAAGAAGAGCGTGTGGAAGATACAAGGGAACAGAGTTTATTGAAGCGGAGAATGTTAGTTGAAACATTTGGCAGCCAGAAGAGTAAAATGCGGGTAAGTCGGATCACGCTATTCCCCATAGTTAGTCGACACTCATTTTTTTGTCTTCTTTTCGCACTATGTGTGGATTAGTTATAAATACAATGTCTCTAAAGAGGCTAGCAGGTTCGCAGGATGTGTCAGCGTGCAATCAACGTGTAAATTTTGTATTTGTGAAATTAGTGGTGCACTATTACTTTGATTCAGGCATAGATCCATTCTGAATTACTACTTCTACTTCCTCATTTTCTTTTCTTTTGACAAGATTGAATGAATTTTTATCTTTAGAGATGTTCTGCTAATGCTGACCTGCGCACAGGCACAACGGATGGAGAGAGGAATTGTAAAGGAGGATGCACTAGGAGACACCGAAGATATGGAGTCCCTTTTCCAGGAAGCGGGTGAAAACGAAGCCCTTCTTACCAATGAGCAAGCTCTGCAACAAGCTAACTTATCTGTTGTTCGCAACGTTCCGCCTCATGATGTTTCTGCAAATACGCCCGAAGGGGCTTACCCTCTTGATAAGCTCATTCCGGCTGAAGAATGGGAGAATTTGGATACCCGTGAGTTGAAGACAGCAGCCAAGAAGGCCAAAGATGAAGAACTACTTCGTCAGCAAAAGTATCCCAACTTCGTGCTCAGTCGTCTAAGAAGGATCAGGGTTGAGGTTAGCAGATAACAGATTCTCTTCCTTTCTTAGTTTTTTTTATTGCAATGAGCGTAGTCATTATGGATTCGTTCTTCGTTGAGGAGCTTCAAGTCCCGGGATAGTGAACTGTGAGCACGTTGAATATTTACTAGTGTTCTTACGATCCAAAGCCTGCGCAGTATCAGTATTCTTTATTCTGTGACGGGTGTGATTTCTTATTTTAATAGCAAGGAGCAGCGGACTATGAAACTGAAACGTTATCTCAAACCATTTTTGCAGGGAGACAAAGAAGGTAATGATCGGCGAGCTAAAATATTGGTGTATTTGAGACATCTGTTTACCTTTCATGCAACTCCTCACTACGCTGTGAGGAAGGCGGCTTCAGATCCTGGAAGGTTTTCACAAGAAACAGGCATACCTGGTATAATTGTTTCAAGTTTCTTGGAACGATTTGCGGGCGAGAGCACAACGGATTCTCTCAACAAATCTGAAATTCGCATTCAGTCCAAGCAGCATAAAGATCTTCTCACAAGCTACTGTCTAATCTTAGGATTGGCCGTCGACGATTTTCAGGCTGACCCGTATGATATGGCACTTGAGTTAAAGCAAACTGTGAACACCATACGGCCTTATTATCGTGAGCTTGGGTGCAAGTTTGAGGCTCGATCTATCAATGAACGGAGGGAGCTGGGGGATCCTGACAGTGCACAGGGCAAGTGGAGGGTTACTCTGCCTGTACCACTTAAGTTTCCTGAAATTGTCACTGCCAAGGGCAAGGGACCCAGAAGGTGATCTACGTAGAATATCCAACACGAAGGCTTTAGTTAGCTGAGGACATTGATCTTTTTCTTCGACAGTGGGAGACAGTGGTTGAGAAATATCCTAGACTTCAATCATATGCTGAAAATTAATTACTTGCGTCAGCTTTTCTGATGCTATGACGGTTAACCTTGTCTTCTGATTTTAGGGACCGTTCTTCTAAATCATCACTCTTAATTTTAGAAGCTTGTCGCCACAATCAATCCACTGGTAAAGGTGTACTATAATCGGCCGTGCTTATTTTTGCGTATTCCGTGGTTTTTCAGAAGATAATAATAGTCGCATTTCACGGAATTAAGTAGAAATTCTAGCTTTGCAATGATTATTATGTGGAGCCTTTTCGACGTCATTTAGATATGGGTCAAGTGTGCTCTATTCGAGAAGTATACATATCACTTATATAAATACAAAAAATACACCATTTAAATTTTCTCAGAAACTTTATTTTGTTCACAGTATAATATTGCAAAGACTTCCTACTCCATAAAAACATCTGAAATATACACATAAATATATATTTATATGGATATTGTCATTGCAATCACAAAAACATCTGAAATATATACATAAATATATATTTATATGGATATTGTCATTGCAATCACAAAAACATCTGAAATATACACATAAATATATATTTATATGGATATTGTCATTGCAATCACAGTTTTTATGCTACTGCCACTACAACCCGCTACTCATTTGACATATTACTTTAATATTTTTTATTCCAACAACTTTTTTATTAATATTCTTAATATGTTAATTCAAAATATTTTAAAAATAAAAACAAATTGAATAAAAATAAACAGTGGTGGCAGTAACAAAACTTGTGGAGACATCAGTAGCACACTTTACATGTATACACCAATTGTATATATAAACACACGTACTTCCAGAGGCGTAAGGTTTACAGAGATTATTTAGCAATCGAGAATTTACAGTAAGCTCATGTGATAGGAATGCCGCAAGCAGCAGGGGCCAGCTTTTATGATCTTGAAAATGGGTGTTGACTGCACGCCTTTGCAAGTACGTATGTACATACATACAGACATGCGTACAAGCACATTTCAGTTATATCAACTCCAAACACTTGTATAGGAAAGTTAAGTCATCCTTTCAAAGGCCTAGAACTAGATGCCAAGCATGTTTCCAACTGTAAGTTGTAAGAAGGGAAGACTTCCTTCCGATGACGGCAGGACTACGCCAGCACTTCTTGTGGGAGGTAACAATACGAAGAGTGTTACACGCACAGATTAGAAGCAGAATTATATTGAACACTTGCAGCAAATCAAGTTTTCAAAATCTCCATTCTAAGTGGATATTTCATGCACATGTTCTCCTAAAAAGACTAGGAATAAGCTTCTTCAAGCATTCCAGGAATTGGGGGATCACACTCTTGAAAAATAATCTAATAATGGGTACGCATAAGCCAGAGTAAGACCAAGAACAAAAATTAAAACGTTGTGTAGATTTCTGAAACTGCACCTAGAAAATGTACAAGTGCCTGAGACAGCAGATGAGACGAATAGTCAAACTAAGAAAATCTTGGAAACCTTCATTATCTCCTACTGGATACAAAGCAAAACTCAAAAATGAGATCATCAAGAGCATATTGCCGAGCCTGGAAGGGAATGGACTCACCAGTAGTGAGCTTTTCCACTGATCAACAACCACCATATCAAAAATATTGACAAACACACGAAGATTGATCGATATACAACTCTATTGCTGGGATAGCACATCAGAAGTATGAAATTCGTAACTAATGAACAGTTGATTAGTTGTCCACCGGCCTCACGATTTTCACCGTCTTGTATAGACGCCGCAAATCTTTCATTGCCTCTTCCTCTTTCTGGATGTTACGAATAGGAGAAGGGTTGATAATTTCTGGTTTGTACCATCGACTGGGAGCCTCAGTGGATGGGGAGCCATGGTCCGGAACTTGGCTGCTCCTTCCAGGTGCGGATACCATTAAACCCAAGGGACTAGTAAGCTGTGGACTGCTTCGTAATGCAATTGGGCGCTGCTGTGCTTTGTGTTGCTTTACCTACACAAACCAATTACTTGATTAGACCATGTGCAGGATAGAAGTTAACAAATACAACGTCCACATACATGACAGTACCATGAAATTTAAAAGGTAAGAAAAGACATTTGTCTCGTTATCTGGTTCTGCGAATGGTCAAAACATGCGTTGCTGGAGGTTGTGAATGTGAGACATACTTGTTGGTCTTGGATATCGCGCAGCAAAGGAGCTGAGGTTCCTGGAGATCGTCCAGCCCAGGCAGGAGGACTGTTCTCTGGATGTAAACTCTGAGACTGCTTCGATGACGTTACAGCGATGGAGGCTGAACCTCGAACAAAATCGCTAAGGGTTACCCGCAGCGCTCCTCTGTCTGTTTCATCAAATGATGATTCGATAGCTATTTCACTACGACCCAAGTTGGCCCTACTACTATTGGACCCTACAGAAGTAGTCTTTACAAAACTTAAGGCTGGTTGAGGATTTCTACCCTTAGTACTGCTTACTTCAACCATTTCCAAAATCGGGTTCCTTAATACTGAAGATTTTCCTAAACTGTTGGACTTTTTCATGCCCATTTCTTTAAGACCAATTCCCGGTATGGATTTCTCGTTAGTGGAAGCGAGACCAACTGAGCTCAACTTCGTGGATGAGCCAATCTCTACAGAACCAACCGTTGTTCCTTTCGATTGGATAGCTTCAACACTCTCCTGGTTTTGTATCTCCCGTAATGATGCAGACCCCTTGAGCAGATGAACGCCACCCCATGCTGGACCATCAACTTTCGGTACAGGAGGGGGAGTTGGAGGAAGTGCTTTGGGTGGTGCCTCCAGTTCTCCACTGAGAAACATAGAAAGGCCGCCCTTCTTAGCTTTCCTTTTAGACGACGCTGACTTGGAAGTTTGAGAGGTTTTCCAAGAGCCCGATGAAGCAGATAAACCAGCAGGAGAAAACCCTGAAATTTCCTTAAATCCAAGGGATGAAGGGGTGTTCTGAGGAACCTGAGGCTCATTCTGAGAGATAGAGGGTACAGAAGGAGAGGAGTTACTTGGTTCTCCTGTGCTCTCCAGCACAGCAATCTGTTCAAGAGCTTCCTGCATAAATCGAAAGATAAATATCTCATCAAAATTCCAAATTACGGCAGTCCTGAAGATCGTCATTTGAAATACCAGAAAAAGGAACCACCTTTTCTAATAATAACATGCTTAAATATGAAAGTAGAATTACCTGAAGATCGAAGTCTTCAGCAATATTTGAATCCGTGGATTTAACAGAGGTAGGTCGATAGACACTCTGCGCATGTCCTCCTGAAACTTTGCCTTTTCTTCGTCCAGTGCGACCACCAGGTTTGGAGGCACTTGTATTTTCTGTATGACCTGGAGAACCCTTAATCTCCTTCTCGATAGGACTACTATTTGCCTTAGATACTGCTAACAATGGCGGTATTACTCCAGACTCGAGCAATGACAGTGAAATTTCTAACTCATGCTTTGTTTGAAGCTTAGCCAACTGCTGACTATCTAGATCATGACCCTTGAACTGTTTCAACTCAAGTGCCTCGATTTGTTGAAGCTTCTTCCGCACAGCCCGTATATGTTTACCAACTACATCCTCCCCTCCAACGTTCCTAGGAGTCAAGAAACCTTCATTAGACGTGTTCTCTACCAGGATGTCTTGCTCCATACTTCCAACCCGAAAATTGCGTGTCCGTAAATCACCAACATCACCATCCTCTTCTTCACTGTCTATAACAACCGGTAGGGTTGCACTAGGCGTTGGTAGTAATCTGTAACTCCACGACTCACCCGAATTAGAGTCGAGAGCTTTTTCTAACTCGGCCAAGAGGGCAGATGGTAGTTGTGCAAATATCGAGGGAGAGATGGTGAGAATGTAATCCAGATTACGAAGTACTAGGTCCTGCAAACCCCAAGTAAGTTAGTCAGAATGACGACAAATAAGAAAAAATACAAGTCCACACCACTGCGGTGCATCATAAATGTACCACAGGTTACGTGCCTAATGTACGCGCAAAGTTTTGCTTGTCGTAAACGGAAATTATTTGCGCAGCAGAAGTGAAAAAAATCCTCACAAATCGTACATGCAATCCTAACCGTTATCCACAGGTGACTGTTATAAAGTGATAATGGAAGACTTGAACTTGAAAGAGATTGCCGAAGAGAGGAAATTCACCTCACAGTATCGCCTCAAATGATCTGCACCTATAGAATCTGCGAATTCAAGAATCTGAAGAGCATTCTTGGGTTCAACAATCGACTCGGTGACAACTTTTTGACACAAATCCTTCAGACTAGGTACCCCTTCATCCACGCTTTTCGGAACGACAGGCCCAAGTGTCCTAGATTCTTCCTCCATTTCAGGGTCTTCACCAGCAGATTCCTCACCTTCTCCAATCGTCTTAGAATCTCCAAGCACCTCATTGGGCGGCTTCGTGGAGTAAGTAGGGGCATACAGTGCAGCAACAGCGAGTGAGTGAGTTTCTCCAACAGACAATCCTGTAATGTGCTTTGCACCATGAACACGAACAGGAGATGGATGAACATTTGCCTTGCTTCCTTCACCATCCCAGACATAGACATTCCCAGTGCTTGTTGTTACTGCAGTTCGGTACTTGCCAGCTGCAACGGCCACAACTTGGTGGCCTGCCATAGAAGAGAGCTGCTCACAAATGTAACAGTCAGAAAAAGAAGCAGGATAGTGGCTCGCAATAAGTATATATACAACCTCTGTACTCAGAACTGGGAAGTTGAAATCTGGTTAGGAACACCAGAAGACCACTACAGCAAGCACATCTCAAATTAAGATCTGCAAACCGTTAAGAAATTCATCATTTGAAGGTCTCCACATAAAAAAAGATAGAAATAGATAGTCTACAAGGACAAGAATTGCTGAGAACCGAAAAACAAACATTTATAAATTACACGAGCGTAAACCTTCATTAACACTCAGGTTTTACCTGGTGAGTCCGCAGATTTGGATCAGCAGATACCCAATAGAAGATTAGACCATCCTCTGCGACTATTGTGCTATGAGTCATGCCTGCAGCAATAGCAACCACCTGATCTCTACGACCCTTTTTATGAAACTTCAATGGACAGGATCCTCTCTTCTTAATATCTCGAGCAATAATCACACGGCGAGGAGTCACCATCTTATAGCCCCAAGTCAGAACCTGAAAAAAAACCATCCACAAATGAGCAAAATCGACTAACACTTCATAATCCAATGCCGCTTGTAACATCAAAAAGCAGACAGAAATTAATTTTTAAAATATAAAAAGGGTAGGGCGACTTAGATTCATGATGACCACTAAAGAGAAGGGACGATGATTAAGGAGCTGATGCACTGATACATCCAACCACATTCGAATGCTATCTAGGAATAGAACACGTAACTGGTGGTAATAAGAATTGGACAACTTAAAATAGGTACTAATTTAATATCCTACATTGCTTACTGACAACAATTAAACCACGTGCAAAGTTTACCTTGTGCTCGAACTCCCCGTCCTCCCGTTTAGACTCTTCAAGGACTACAGTATGGTATTTTGCAGTAGAAATAGTCACTAATTTTCTACCCTTCAGATAATCAATCCACCGAGGCATGCAATTGGATGCAGAATTAGAGGTACCATAACCCAACTGCCCTTCACTGTTACAACCCCAAGTATAGACGTCCCCGCATTGTGTCAGAACAGCACTGTGCTTGTTTGCTGCTGCCACTATTGACACACGAACCTTGAGAGTACCAACTTTGCGTGGAGTAGCTTGTGTATCCACGGACGGATAACCTAGGCGACCATCTGAAAGCCAATACAATACAAGTGCCATTTTTATCATGACAAAGAGAGCTCACTTCTAGATAATACTTGAAAGAAGCACGTTCACTAACATCCAGAATTTGTTTCATGATGCTTCAAGGTGGGCAAGAAATATAGAGAAACCAACCTCGATTAGAACCCCAGGTGTAGACTTCTCCTCCATCCGTAGAAATGACACTGTGATGTTTAGCCACAGCAATTGAATTCACCTTCTTACCAGCAAGCCCACTGGTGACTTGTCGAGGAATAATAACCGCAACTTGTCCACTGCATCTCAAGAGAAATATGATTAACCCCAACAAAGATCTGAAGTAAACAATCAAGAAACGCAACCAAACATGCAAATCCTGGCATACCTACCAAATATCACAAAAAGCAAGACGCGAACCTGTGGATATCAAAATCAGGATGCCCAAGTCGACCACCACGCCCGAAGCCCCAAGTATACATGTCACCATTTGCGGTAACAGCTGCACTATGGAATTTAGCTGCTGCAACGTATGTGATGTCAAGGTTTTGCAAAGTGTCCAATCGGCACGGTATTCTCTGAATACCAGCAGTTCCTGTTCCCAGCTGATAATTTGCACCATTACCCCAACTGTATACCTCAGTCATAACTGCAGACAAAAACAAACGTCCATAGGATAAATAACTGGATCGTAAAAAAGATTTCTGTAAACAGATGCAACAAATACTACCCAAGATGATGCAAGCTGCTCCGAATAGGCGTAGCAAGTTGGGCACTGAGAGTTTCATGTACAGTTAATCGCTGACACTGCAATATTGCAAGGGACAGCAATCTCACAGCCTGGTTCTACTGAAAGACACAATTTAGAACAACCTAACTTATGCATCGAAGGCATCGTGACGAATGACTCAGCCAAATAACAATCAAAATTAATAGAACGAGATCTTTCCAGATATGGTCCGCTTTCTCCACAAGTTTAGAGTAGAAAAATTTATAAATGAACCGCAAATTCAAGGCTTCGGGAACTGGACATAATGTTTGCAAATGCTGCACCTGAGTTGGAAATGACACTCTTAACAGGGCCAGATATGAGGTCAATAGGTATTCGCCCTTTTGTATCCTCAATCGTTAAAGAAGCACCCGCTTGCAAAAGCACACCAGCAACCGTCAGATGCCCAAAATGAAAAGCCCTGTGCAAGCTGCTCCATCCGGACTCGCCATCCTGCTCGAGCCAAATGACAACTTTCAAGCTTCGACAGGGGGTTTGTTCATACCACAATCGATTGTAGTAGCAGTATCATGGTTTTAGGGACATGACAGCGTCCAGGTGGAACATAGAACAAGTAGAGCCCATCGCAGCAATAGAGTAAAACTTCCAAACTTGGGGTCAGATAAACGGAGCATGACTCCACAAAAGATAAGCCGTCCTTTTGGTGGGGAAAGTGGGAAGAAGCACCCCAACAGGACAAAGTGATTCTGTTGAAAACTTTGGACATTATAAAGTGAAAATATTTTTAAGGTTGGCGAAGATAAATTCTATCCATAAGACGCGGGGTAGCTCTGAAACTCACCCTAGCGTCAGGATTAGCACCAGCTGCAAGCAGACGTCGGACAATTGGTATGTGGTTTCGCCAGACTGCGATGTGTAGCGCAGTAGAGCCAAATACACTTCTAGCATCAACATTCCCATTGCATTTTTTCATAGACGCTAAAGCCAGTTCCACATCCTGCACCGAGCCATTTCGTACCGCAGCCCATATATCGTTGCAGTTCCCACCTCCCAATTTTTTCGGTGGAGTATGCTTTAGGCTTGAACCAGGAGATAAAACGCTAATAACGTCCATGTTCTCCCACTTTCACCACTAATATGCTAATAACCCAACCAATCTTTGCTAAGTCAAAGACTCATGACGTGCACAACCAGTGGGATCATCGTCACAAGCAGCAGGTCTTTCTCTGAAATAAAGTCGAATTTTTAAAAATGTTCCAATGTTCTGAATGCTGATAATTCACACCTGCACTCGTCGTCGTCGACTTCTCCTCCTGTAGAACAAGCAAGTACTAATAGCCAATCGCATGTTCTCATGGACCTTTTAGAATATGCTACTTTGCCCAGCAGGTGATGCTGTTGCGGCCTCCAAGAAAGTAGTAGCAGCATTTAGATGATCATATAAAGTTCCTCCGTGACTATATCCCATGATCTACAACTGAGACGACATTGTACGGATTTTCCTGCAATACCAGGAACACAGGTAATATGAGGACAAGGTGTTGGCTATGTGAAGGACCATTAACATCAACATTTAGCATACCAGATGACTAAATTATTGTGTTGACCACAATGCCAATCTTGGATAAAAAGCATTGTTGTCCCATCTTCTGATTGCTCTTAAAAATAAATGCGTGCTTCAGAAAGAACTAGCAAGCTCAAATTACCGTCAGCCAACAGCGCACGTAGAAATCCAAAATACAATTCAAACCGCAAATCTACCGATTAAGAATCATACTTTAAAATACAAAGAGAACGAAGAGAACAAAATTGTGGTTTCAACCACTACATGAATTTTGAGGTCGGACAAAATTAGAAGTCTTCATTCCCGCAAAGCTTTGGAAAAGTGAGGGTTCGCCAGACTTGACATTCATGCTAAACATCAACTACACGCACATATTCCGAACACTGCTGGACGCACAATCTCATCTTTGATGAAATATGAATTGAGTGCGTAGGAGAACTTTCATGTTTCTTTTCTTTGCTTTTCATTTCTTTTTTGGAAAGAGCTCAACTACAACGGTCATAAACATGTGAAAAGAGTACTTGGTACAAAACAACGCACCGCTATTTTGGCAGCAGAAATAAAATCGTCCTGACAGTTCCAAGATCAAATGAACACCTTGTCAACGAAGAAACCACGTCCCCTGCAAAACGGCTAGTTCAGTGCTCCAAAGTTCAAACTGACCTCCAGTAAAATCTCGAAACCCTAAGTGAGGAACACCTTCACCGTTAAAAAACTATTGGTTGTATTGAACCGCGCAGTAGCAAACAGTACTCCTACTCATTTTCCTAGTGAATAAAAACTAGTAGATAGTGGTCTGAGCTACTTTCACGGGAATTTGAAGAACTACGAACGCAAATATAAGAGTTCACTTGAGAGATTCAACCTTCACAACAATATTTGTAACTCAAAGCAATCAAAAACAGTGGAAGTAGCTCTGCCAATATGATTCCTACAACTAGAGCTGAAAGTTAGCCAGAAGAACTACCCAAGGCTACGAGCATTGCCAGGTACAAAGTACTGCCGGTACCATTCAACCAGAAACCAATATCCAATTAGACCTAAAGCAAATGCACCCAATTCTTCAGCCAGAGCCAGAACCAACGACCGCAAACCCTAAACTCTCCAACACAAAGCTTGAGTAAGACTCTAATTTACCAAATTATAACCAGGTGCCCGAACTATGAGCACCAACTTCCCCAGAACGCAACAGCGAGACGTCGGAAGCAAGACGACACGTTGCTCGCGACGCGCGTCAGCTGGATGCAACGAAGGCCTCGAGTCTACTTAATAATTAAATCGACGAAATGAGTTTGGTGATCGCGGAAACTCCAGCAGTTCCGAAGGCCTTAACGAATGACGTGACTGAAATCGACGAGAAAAGAACCAGGCGGCAAGAAAGTTAGTGGCCGAGGTTGGCTCCGGCTGCAAAAAGGAAAATCGCATCCAGGTATCGAAGAAAGCATGTGCGGCGAGGACGAAGAGCATCGCCGGGAGCATCGGCCAAGGCATCTGGCCGAGCATGTTCCGCACCGAGAGACGCACACACACGTACGTGTGAACGCAACTCACGCTAAATTGGAATCCAAAAATGCGGCGATTCCATGCAAGTTTCCACATACCCGGAGAAACTACTTATGACCGGACTTGTACAAACACCCGGCAATGTTTGAGTCAGTCACAGGTCATATCTGGTTCCATCGTGTTGTGCCTCTCCGCTTTCAATTCCTCGTCGACGACTGCAAACTTGACTGTTTCGCGCAGTTGTACAATCAAACTACGGCGATCAAGAGACCGAGGTTGAGAGTCGAGTTTTCTCAACTAAAATGCAACATTCCATAGCGCGAGTACGGAGGCTTTGAATGATTTCGCCTGCTCTTTCCATGCGCAAAACATATCTGCATGAGCGTTTGTCTATTTTCGGTTCGGTCGTGGGTAGCGGATTCTGTTTGATGCTACCTTCTGACTTACAAATTTCTCCTCCCAGATGTATATGTTGGCTATACTCCAGAATACAAGAACAATCTTGCTGCCTTTAAAAATACATCGCGATTCGCTTTAATTCAGTTTCAGGTGCCTGTGCAGCAATTGTGCATTTAAGTCAATATCGTGGAACCAAAACATGAGTATCAGCGGAATCCAAACCTGTAGAATCCATTTAGCAACAGGGGATGACAGAAAGCAACTGCCCCAAGCGAATCGCTTTCGATGCCATAACTTTTGTGATTGACATTTCTTCAAGCTGTCCGATACTTGAGTGAATCAAATATGTGTAGATTCTTGAAAACCTTGAGCAAGATTCTTTTACCTCTCGATTCACTTACTGCCTCCGCCTTTCGATGCACAGTATCCTACTGGGCACGATCTTCTGCTGTTTTGCACAGCAACGCTCACAAAAAAACGTTGTTATTGAAAATTGCCACCAAGTGTGTCGTCCTTATTGAGGTTCTGTTCGTGAGCATCGTGAGCTCAGACATCATCTGGACGCTGTTTTCACACGCAGTAACCAATGAATCCCGTCGATGTGCATGTAAACCATCGAAGACGATTTCCTCGGAGACACCATACCGACATTTAGAAGCAGATTGGTTTGCTCTAAAAGCCTGTATTAATTATACAGGTCGTACACTACAAGGGCCAACAAGATACTCATCAGAAAGCTTCCCTTTATCTGCAAGTTTATTAGTTACAAACAAAACAGATCACTAAACATTGCATCGCGAGGGATTCAACTACTCAAATCCATCACATTCTTCCTGCTCATAAAAATGAAGTGCGTCATGTTTTCTGAATGTGACCAAAACCCCTTCTGAAACAACGCTCCTACGTGGCATAATTCCGACCCCTTCAAACCCTGCCACCTGGGTCAATTTTGGCGGCCAGCTGGGTGCCAGATGGGCATGAGAAGAGAACCGGGGCCGGACTGGGCTTTCGCCGCCCATTGTGAAGCTGATCAATACCTCGCTCGCATCAGGGCCAGGAGATGAGATGCTTCCAGTGTTGAGAATTGTTCCCTGGCACCATGAGATCGGACATCGCGAGGGTGGGCAGGAGATGATCTAGGCGTCCAATTCCTTTGCTGCGATTGAATTGATATTGGTGTTGGATTTGTCAGTGTTTGTGCGGGGGGTTGAAGTGATGGCATTTGTTGCAGTGCGCCCGTTGCCTGCTTCATCGTGTTTGGTGCAGCGCCCTGCGTTAGGGTTTGGACGGGGACGACTGTCATCGACAGCTCGCGTGGCAGTGCCGAGTTTGCAGTTGAGACTGTCTTCTGTCCGGTGTAGTGCGGAGGAAGGCGAGGGTCACAGGCCGCTTGTCGAAGAGAAGCGGGAATCCAAATTGCGTTCCGATGGTGATTCTTTGAATGAAGAATTGGGGGGTTGGTCTGTGGCTGAGGCTGAGCAGGAGGTGGACTCTAGCTCGAAATCAGGTGCATTCAATGGTTCAGGAAGAACTTATGTGCTTGCAATGTTACTTTAGCCCCTCATGGGAAGCGATTTGAATGCATGATTCAATCCGTAGAAATCTGTTACTATTCGATGTACACATATTATAGTGTTTTGTAATGCACCACTGCATGACCTGCGAATCTACTTCGACTCGTTCTTGCACTTCGTTCAAAAAATTGCGGATCGGATTGCCTGAAGTAGTCGGGGCTTGCAAGAGGGTTGGTTGCATCTAGAGCCAAACTACTTTAGGATGATCTCAGGCGAGAACCGATTCACGAGGTTTGATTCTTGTGGGATATTGCGCCTTGGTTGTTGGCAGTAATCTACGGAGTGCAGGCATTAGTGCCACAGGGGTTTCCTTTGGACTTTTCGTATTCAATATGTTATTGTTCTAGCAGCCTAGACTCCTTGACAACTTGATCAGAATCGAGTAGGGAGTTATTCAGCTCCTTACGCGGTTAACTAATCAAGCTTTTCGGAAAGGTCAACGGAATAACAGAATACCCGAATCCACTCTTACTGCGCAAAGTTTTAGCTGTTTTCAATATGAGGTTATGTTTTATATTGTAGCTTCGCTGGAGTGACCTAATTTTTAGATGTTTTGAGATTCCTTTCATTTATATTTAATTTCAATTCCGAGTGGTTCGACGGATATGGTGCAGGTTTCATGCGAGTTGGAGCAAGCCTTCTTCTGGCAGTTGGTGTTTCAGTGGCCTCTTACCTCTATTTTCAAAAAAATGGTCCGTCACATCCTTTTGTGTTATGGCCGCTAGTGTTTAGAGCACTTTAGCCTTTGTGGTGCTTTTTGCAGTTACTGCTGCAGTCGGTTGAACATCACCAAATATTCAATCTGTGTCACAGTTCTTTTAAATTATAGCTATTGTCCCCTCTAGGAGTATCGTCAAGCATTGACGTGCTATTCTCTTGCTCTGCTGTGACAATATTTGTACTCATGTTTTAGGAAGGAAATTAGTATCAAGTCCACTTCCTCAGGTAACTACACAAGAATTGGAAGTAGCGCATGAAGCACCTCTACAGCAGAAGTCACAAGCGACGTCCGAACCTGACCTCTTTGACGACGACGACCAGGACGCAACAATTGTTGACTCTTCAGCAAAGGACGACGGTGACGAGGTGAATGTGGAACTTGTAGACAACAATGAAGTTGAAGAAAAGAAACAAGACGTTTCAAATCAATTGGATCGACATAATATAGAACAAATCGATCAACTTGATTCAGGTATTTGCAAATAGGAGTTATGGCCCCATCCTCTGAATTCTGTAGGTGAACTTCACGAGTCTATCAGGTAGTAGTTCAAAGGATTTTCATTTAGAATTTCCGCTTTAAGGATCCGAGTTGGAATAATGTAAATATCAGGCCTGAGCTCAGTATATGTAGGCTCTTTTTTTACTAGTCGTTCAATCTTGAATCTCGTATTGCATGTGCGAACTTTCCTGTGAGAGCTGGTCCATGCTGTGAATGTTTACGGTTGAAAAAGATTGATTCGTTAGATATGACGAGGTATGTGCGCAAAGGAATCAGGTAAGGTAACTATTCCAATTTAACTCTAACAGCCAGTCCAAAATATGTGGAAAAGTTATTCTGGCTTCGGTTCCTTACAGATACGCAAGTCAGGAATTGGAAGGCAGTGGTTCCTGCTGTCGTTGATCGCATGCAAGAGCTGGCATTATCAGCCTTGCAAGCTCTGGAGGTGTCTTGTTTCTTTCCTTAAAATTCCTGTAAAACTCGTACCTGTGACGTTCTTGTCCGAATTTGCCTCGCTGCTGCAATGTGGGAAACTCTTGGAAATCGATGCATATTTGGGAATTGACCTTACTCGTATAGTAAGCTCAGAGTTTTTTTCCTACTGTGTGGCTTTCAACCACTGAATTGATTGTTGCATCTTTTAATACCATTCAATAGAAAAGAAAGAGAAAGAAGTCTGAACATGGAATTTTTAAATACCTTCTTGTATGCAGGTTGTTGAAGACGAAGTTGACCCTGCAGCGGTTTGTACTCGGAGAAATTATGCTCGCTGGTTGCTTGCTACTAGTAGTAAGTTGACGAGGTAAATTGACATCTTATACTTAATTTTATCATCTTAAGTATAGCCTTTTTGCATTTGATTCATATTTTACATGAGTAACCCGGCATTTACTTTTCTCCTACATTTTTTGTGTAGCATGTTTTCTTTAGTTGTTTCCTTTTAAATTGAAGAATGTGGATATGGACTTTGAAGAGCAGGTGGTTTGACCAAACAAGGAAAGGTAGATTGACTTTTGAGAATATATAAGAAGGTGTGCACCATTTGTCTATTGTTAGTCGCGCTGACCTCAAGAAAATGGTCTTAACTGCACTTCATTGGTCGCTGTATAGGAGTGCCGCTAATAAAATACTTCCCGCAATGTACATAGAAGAAGAAACAGAACTTGCTTTTGACGACATAACTCCTGGAGATCCTGACTTTTCTGCTATCCAAGGTATGTGTGTCTTCTTTATAATAGTATTCATCCCTTTTGGCAAAAGGTGCCTACGAAACTAGTCTTAAGCAGACTATTCTACGAGTTGATACTTGGTAGTTCGATTGCTTGATGGGATTGATACATGATTAGATTTAATGACGTTTGTTGGTTGTTATATTATGCCCTGGTATTTTGGGGGTGCAGGTCTAGCAGAAGCGGGACTAATTCCTAGTAAACTTTCCAGCATGGATACAGATTCTGGTGAGGGTGAAACTGGCGGAGTCCTTTTTTCTCCTGATAGGTATGTTCGAAGGGTACAATTCAATTTTCTGGGGAATTGATGCGCCTTTTAGTTGCGTTCAACAAGGTTTCTGCTTTTGCGAAGTCAAAGCTTGGAAACTTGACTGTCCTCTGGTTTCAAAATGAATCCATGACATGAGCTTGAATAATGGATGGTTATAGGCTTTTCAGCTGATTCCTAATTTACTCTTGATTTTATTGCAGTCCATTGTCGAGGCAAGACCTTGTAAGCTGGAAAATTTCTCTCGATCGTCGGTCCCTTCCAGTTATTTCTAAGGAGGTATTACTTTGGAGTTTTTACTATCCTGTCTTTCACTACCTCTATCGTATTTAAACGTTGCCATCATATTATTTTTCTTACTGGATTAGATAAGATTTTGTGTATTGCCCGAAATAGATTCTGATGGAAAGTATGCCCATGCAGGACTTTCAAGCACAATCAGGCTTCATGGACGTGGATCGCATTGAGAGTAAAGTATGGCCAGCAATTGTTACTGACTTGTATTCAGGAGAAAGCAGCATCATTGCTACTGCTTTCGGTACCGTACTCACTCAATTTCTTTTTGTGAAATATGGATAGTAGTTTTGTCTTCTTCAGATGACGTTGAGGTTCGGTTCACTTCAAGTTTGCATATAAGTTGACCTCTCCAGTTGAAATACGAGTACCTGTTTTCTAGGGTTCACAAGAATGTTTCAACCTCAGAAGCCTGCAACTATTGGTCAAGTCGCAATTGCGCTTGCAACTGGAGATACGTCCGATCAACTCGGGGAGGAGGTAGCAAGGCTTGAAGCAGAGAGAATGGCAGATGAAGCAGTTGCAGCAGATGCTGCAATGGAAGCTCGCACGCAAAAGGAGGTAAAAGCTCTATTCGACGAGGAAATTGAGACTGAGAGGAAACTTAGGGAGGAAGCTGAGAAGCTGCTTGCGGAAGCGAAAACCAACTTAGAAAAGATAACTACAGAAAGAGATGCCGAGAGGGATTCGCTCCTGAAGGGCCAGGCGGATGTTGAAGCAGAGAAAGACCTTTTGTATGATACCCAGTATAAAGTCGATGAGCAACTGCAAGCTTTAGCCACGCTTCGTGTAGAAATTTCCTATGAGAAAGAGAGACTTCAAAAGCTCAGTTCAAAAATAGAACAAGACCAGGAGTCAGCTTCCAGATTAAGGACGGAAATTGATTCAGAAAAGAAATCACTTGTTCTTGCAAGGTACAGCATTCCTATATTCTTATGTCTGGGTGCACCAGAATCCGCTTCTATCATAGATTCAACCTTTCAGCTCACTGTGCTGTATTTCAGTCATCACTATTATTCAAATGAGTATATTATCTTCAGCTGCGTTGTTTTGGATGTTGAAATTGCAGCGACCATATGTAGTACTGCTTTATATGAACGTGACGTAGAGTTGTGGGACCGTCTTTTTTCCTTTCCTGTTATTTTTTACAGATTGGAAGCAGAGGAAGAGGCCCAAAAGGCACGGGAACTGGCTAGAGTGCTTGAAGAAGCCAGACAACATTGGGCGGGTCGAGGGATTGAAATCCATGTCGACAAGTCTTTCGACGATAACAACATTCCTGGACCAAGTTGGCGCTATACCGGTGGTAACACAGACCTCGAGAAAGTGCTTCATCGTGCACCCTTGCAAGATGTCATAGACAAAGGAGAAAACCTGAAGACCAGGATCAATAACGGTGTGTTAAGATACTGGCATCTACTCCTGCAGGTAGTCAGCCGATTTTATTACAAAATTCTGGAGTTGTTGGGGCAAATAAGGAGGAAGTCATCACAGCTATCACTCGATACCTTTTCACATGTCAACCACAGGATGGAAGACACAAGATCAGTTGTTGCTGGAAAAATTCGTGGTGTTCAAGATGCAGTGTTGGATGCTTCTGCTGGTGCTATGGAGGGAAGTAAGAGATTCGCTGATGGATGCAGAAGTGGAGTTGGAAAAATTTCACAACGCTTCAAACACGACTGAGGTAGCAAAAGAGCAGGAAGATAATGTGTTAACATTCATGTTCAAGAGAACGTTTGTCTTGGGAGACTAACATAGTGAGTCCTCAAGTTTAGTAGGTATTAATGATAAAAACAACATAGATACTCATAGTATCCAGGCTTATTGTAGGTCTGATTGCCATCGCTTCCCACTCTTCACATATGCTAGAGATGAATTGTATACTGAAAAGCATAGAAAGTTGAGGCAGTATTGGTTCCCTCTACTTTTTGTTTTAGTTCTGACTAGTCAAACATTCTGCTTGCTACCAGAATTCACGACTTCCTCTTTTCTGGCTTTTATCTTTACTACAATATGACATTTTACAGGGGAATCACCACGCCTCAACTATTCCAAAGTTACAAATGTCCTTAGACTTACCCGAGAGAAATCTATGTGGCGGGTTCAGAGGAATGGCAATTGTAAGCAGCTGCTGGACTGGGTCGGGCATCTCTCTTGCCTGAAGGCAATGTGTCTGGAAACATAGATGTGGTTAATGAACTATTAGTAGTTTTGGGATGGAAGGAAAATTTCAAGCTTCAAATTACAGCATAGCATAAAGAAATATGATTGGTTTTGATAGTCGGTCTTAATTTGGACGTCTAGCGAGTAGACTTTAAACGGTTATACGTTTTGAACCGATGCAATCATCTTGATTCTAAATCTTCTCAATAAAATATTAATGATTGGACATAAAGTTCCTGGCAATAAATAGTAAACGATGCCTGGTGAGATGAGATGTGGTTCCTTTACAAGCTCCATATTATATGTGAAATTATTTTAACTACTTTAAAATAATATGTCACATTCAAGATAGATTATTGAAGTTCTAAAACATTATACTTTGAAATTTTGAAGAAGAATTTATGTAACAAAGTTCGAATTATGATTAATTAGGTAAAAAATCAATGGTATGAATTCATACAGAAATACTAAATAGAAGGTAGCAGTTCACAGTTAACTAACATTGTATTGTAAATTTTAACATAAATTATACAGCTTTTTTTTATTCATTTGTAACGTCTTAATAATTTAATTTTTCCAGTTTGTCACTTCATTTTTCCTTTTTTTTTTTTTTTTTTTTTTTTTTTTTTTTCTTCTAAAAAAATTGTCTACGACTAATTAAGATTATGTAATTGCAAAAGTTAAACTCAGAGATTAAAATCTAAATTTGATTATTCATGTAGCTTATACATAAATTTTTCAAGAATGATTGCAACATAAAATCTTTCTCTGGTTTGAGTTTATATAAATTATAATATAAAAAATCATACATGATTTCCCAATTCTTTTTTGACATTAATATACCCATCTTAGTTAATTCTAATTACTATTGAATTGACCCCAAAATTGAATATTTTTTCAGAAAACAACGACAAGATAAATTTATTTTTCAAACACATAAGTTAATCACATAAAAACTAGTAGTCTTAGTATAATTTGATGTACAAGGACCTTCTTATGGCTCAAAAAGTAATAACAAAGTCACTCGGTGTAATCTCATTATGTTCGATTACAGTTAAACATCCTTCTTGACTTTAAATATGGATTTGGATGCACGTAGATGTAAAATCCTACACAGAACTGACCCCTCGTTCATCCAAGATCACAGCTTTACTTGATGCCGTTACACTACCGACTACCGACTCCGCCACTTTCGTGACCGCAGCAGAATCGACAAACACGAGCTACCGACTCTGAAGCGTCAGAATTGGGATAAAGTGCGGCTGATGGTGCGCAGATCCAAGAACCCAGTTCATCATATTCACGGTGACTACGGTTTATACTGGAATCTCATTTTTTCTTTGCACAGCAAATTTTGGTCTTGCTTGTTACGCCCAGGCCATTGCAGTGCAGCACAGCTGGATTGAGGAGACACGGTACGTTATGAGGCTGGGCGCAAAAGCTTCGTCGCACGATCATCTTGCCAGACTCAACTTCGCCAAGTTCTGAAATTGTGACGATCTAGAGGAGTTTGGGGAGGCGATTAACTAAGATGTTGACGGAAGGGTGCGAGGATGACACATACAAAACAGGTTCTGGGGATCGCAACTACATCGCGCCTGAACTCGGGGAGTTCAATCCTACGAAGCCTAAACCATGGAAGCCCAATGGTCCTGTGAAGATCTTGCAGCCGGATGGAGTGTGGGTGCATCCCCATGTGTATGGCAAGAAGAGAATTCTGCGGTTTCCGGTCCGACCGGAGGTTGGAACTGGACCAGATGGGAAGGAGGTGAAGTTTCGAGAGTTTGAGAAACCTTTCTATCGGTCGAATCATCTCAACCCTTTGCCACCTGAACAAACGCCGAGCGATTTTAAGACCAAGTACATTGACCCACTTGCTCCGGAACGCCCTGATGCTCGGGATTGGACTCAGCGGGATCCGCAGTACTCAGTCGTCCCCCAGAAGTGTTATAAGTGCAAGCCTGGGCCGCCGACACACAACAGGCTGCACAAAGCTGTTGCGTCGGGCGACAAAAAAGTATCCATCTCTCCGCTAAAATCGTAATAAAAAAAACCCCAGCATGACCTTGAATCTTTTCCGGAAGCGAGAGCTAGCTTTACTGATGAGTTTCTTCTTGACTGGTCAGAAATCCATAGAACTCTTGAATTCTAAACCTGGAGGTTACGAGGATCTTTGCACAATTCTAAAATCGACCATGGGCCTTAGCTGTAGCGAGAAGTGGCAGACTCGTTGGCAGTATTTTCCAAGTAGTTCTTTTTGTTATGCAATCAATGCAGAAGTGACCATTCGCTTCTCGAGATGCACTTGAGATGCTGGGGCGCAAATAGATCACACACGACCTTGGTAAGGTCAATGAAGAGTGAAGGAGGCAATCCGGAGTGCTCAAATTCATCTGCCTTTTCAGAGCTTAACCGCCAGCATGAGAAATGCAGGTTTGAAAGAGTGCTGATGTCTCACACACTATGCGGAAACTTGAACTAATGCCACTAGGGACTAACGAGGAATGTCAAGGTTAGTCAATAGCATCTCACTTGTGTAGGCTGGTGAGAGAACTCGCAGCTGGGGCTTTGACGAGATTTCGCGGTGTGTTCATTTATACCTTGACCACCAGAAACCGTGCAGCACTTTTGCAGGGTCATTGATCCAGAGGGTCATCTCCACAGGAAGAAAGGAGGAGGATGGATGTGCCGAAAATGGGCCCCGCGGGGTCAGCTGTGGCCCCGCGACGGCAAAGATTTGGTCCCCCGCCATCTCATCAATCACTCACCGAAGGAGTGGGAGGTTCTGGCTTCCCCAAACCCATGGCCTGAGTTTCATGGCCATCACTGAGCTCCTTTTGCAAGCAGCCTAGTATGTAGCCCTAAGTATGTGTCTGGTCAATCTCACGCTGGCTAGCAAGCTGAGTACTTACCCCTGAGACACTACGATGATTTGAATTTCTATGATGTAATGAAAAGGTAAGGGAATGGGTGCATGCTCAGGATCATGTCGCGGAGCAAGAACGCAAGGAAGCAGCGGAAGATGAAGCCTTCCAGAAGTTAATGACAGATGTTTTTGGTGTAATGAGGTGCGAGGGCGGCGGCGTGGTGGAGGAAGTAAACAGTATGATAGCGCGGGAGAAGAACGTCCATGCCGACAAGCAAGCGGCCATGTACAAATCGTGGGAGATGCACGTCTACCATAACATTCAGGACCAGATCGGCGAAAAACTCAGGAAACTTTCCCCCGATCAGATTTCGAGTAAACTTCGTAAGTTTAGCTAATTGTCATTTCATTCTCTGTTTCATCACTTTGGAGTGATACCTGACCTAATGCAAACTACTCAGTGCAGCAAATTAAAATTTACGTGGGTCAAAAAGCGTGTCTGAAATGTGCGTGTCTTGGCTCTGCAGGGTACGAGCAAGATCGGTATGCGAAGGCCGTTGGTAATCACAAAATATTTTGCGATATTATGAATGACGCATACAATCCCTTTGAGTTGTCGAAGTCGAAAGAAAATTATGTGCACTACAATGTCAAGAACCTCATCGACCCCATGAAGCATGACCTCGAGAAGGTGCTTCTTCTCTTATTCCAATTTTGCATTGGCTCTATTTCTAGAGAAATTGGATGTTGGGGTTATGTTATTCCCGTCCTCAAAGTTGAAGAATGTTTTTGTCTACATGGTGCAGGAGAAGAGGGAGAAAGTGTGCATGGGCGAGCCAGTGTTCCAGAAAGCGCAATGCAAGGAGACTCTCGATTTATGCCACTGGACTCATGACCAATTTAGGACTACGATGCACGGCCACATCAATGCTGATGACGAAGATGCAACGCGGAAACCGAGAGTGATGATTCCTGGGTAAACTTCCTCACTCCTATCTCCCAATCATTCTCAATCCACATTTCCAGCCCAATCTTCTGACTGAAGTGGGGAAAACGCTCACATTCTGAAGTTGCCGGCATTCAATTCAACATTGTGCAGAAAATGGTATTCCCGACCTGTATTCTGGAATGGAGACTGGAGATGGCTGAAAGAATACTGGAATGAATCATTCCCAACAGGAGGAAAAGCAGTAAGCACGCCTGCCCGAACCCTCACTTCTGATTCAATTTCAGCGTGCAAACTCACAGGAAACGTTCGAGTCCTACTACTGAACCCTTTACTCTCCATCCTTGCAGATGCCACCAAAACCACCAGATAATTGTGAAACTTTACCTCGCATTGAGAAGGATATGGTGTGGGACAGCCCGGTGAAGAGCCAACGGAAACTGCAGATTTCGGTAGAGAATCCCGGGTTCTAAGTGAATTTCTGATTTCCAGCAGGGTCACCATTTAGCTGAGTGTTGCAGCAATCTAAAAAGAGTACAGCCACATACTCCAAGCGATGTTGCTGCAGATTCCAGACAAGAGAGTCTACTACCCTGGAGGGTTCATGTATTAGGGTTCTGATTTTTGCACGATGCAGTTTTTCCGTCAGAACTGCGGTTTAGAAATTTCTCTAGCAATCAGAGATCGAGTAGGTGATTTGCTGACGTGAGAGTGAGGTATTTGAGTGCACAGATTAATGAGGACTTTCGATTTCTATGGGTACAATGCCCGTTTGCATGGTGTTCATTTCTGCGTAGTGGAATTCAGGTGAGATAATTGTACATTTGTCATGATCAATTCCCTCTGCTCGACGATATCTCTCCTTCCACCACTGCTAATTATTACGATAATGTTTCAGGGAGATTACATGTGATAATTTTTTTCATCTGCTTTCACATTAATGCAATGAAAATAAGAGTTGCTACCCGTTGCAAACACCACTAGAAAACCATGGAAAAAAAACCTTTCAAGCAGGTCTTTCTGTCGGAGTGGTATTACTATTCCAAATTTACCAGCCTGGAACTCGAATTTTATGAGCGATTTGAATTTTAACATGTACAGTTTTGAAACGCTTTCTATAGCCCTAAGCCCCACCAAGGACTTCAGCACCGAACTCGCAATTCTCGAACCCTTTCGGAAACGGAATCGACAATTTTCTCCTTGTAATCTACGTGACTCGGTGAATCACCCGCTGGATTGCGGTGATATAGCAATGCTGTGAGGAAAAGAGTGAGGGCGTACAATGGCGGGTTCAATGTGCCCCGCGACTGTTTTGAGCGGGCCATCCTGCGCCCGGGTCTCTTCTCCAAGCTGGAACGTTTTAAACAGGGCTTCCAAATGTTTCATTAGAGTTTCGAAGTTTGCGCCATTGTTTTGTGGGGCGTTGAAGACGAGAAAACGGGGTAATTTCGCGTCTATCTTCGATTTAACTGTCAAGATTTCACTGGTTTTATGTGTTGGGTGTTTCAAAGAAAATCCCACCTCGAAATTTCACATTTGCGGATTGGTATGCCTCTCTCTTTGCGGATTTGATGCTTAGTTGCGTAATCATTTGTTTTGTACTATTTTCACTGAGAATTTTGGGGTGTTTTATGGCTGTTGTTTTTCTTCAACAGGTTCTCCTGTTAATTTTACCGTCATTCCAGGCATTTCAGGCAATTTTTGTTCCCGAACTAGCTGTATAATGCTGCCGATGCCATATTTCATAGATATCGGAAATGTGCTTTGGAGATCATTATTTCAACGGGAAGCATTCTTTGAATGCTGTGTCCATGTAACTGCGCCATGTCTTTTTAACACAGTGCATAGCGCTCTAGCCTTCATTCAGAATTCTCTTAGTAGGAGATTGGTGAACACAGCTACATCGGCAAATTGCTGACCTAAATGTGTGGACCTTCTCAACTCAATTTAACGCAGACGCTTGCTGAAGTTGAGGGTTTGTATGTTCAGATCAAAGCACTATTTTCAGAGTGAGTGTCAAATCATCTCATATACGAGCGGAAGTCAAGAATGAGCCAGTGGATGTAGTGATTCTCACGAATGGGCCCGGTGAGGTGGCCACCTGGGTGAAGCCAGTGGTTGCAAGGTTGCGGCGGACAGCGGAGGACCATGCAATGGACATGCGCATCTCGGTATGTATAGTAAGTCCAAAGGAATGGGACTTGCCACTAAAATTTTCTATGGAGTAGTTGTTGTCAGGTTTAAATTTTTTATCCTCATTTGTCTGTATAATTAAACTCAGATAGTCTTCAGTTGAATGCTCCATATGTGGAATATAGAAGAAAAAAAAAACCCAGATCTTCTATACCCTCTCACTGTCGTGTATAACTCGCAAAGCTTGCGAGTATACATGTGACTGCACAATGTAGAAGAATCATGCGTGGAATTCTTACTAACATCAATCTAATTTCGTAGCAATTAATCAAACGTGTACGATGGTCTGTAGGTTCTCTTGGCACCCTGCCCTCATGCCTCTGGAAAAGAGCTCCAACTCCTTCAATCATTCGACGAGATTGATCGGTGCCAGGTAATGCAAAGTCGAAAATAAAATTGAAGCATTGTAGATTATTCTCATATGATCCAGGGTAATTTTATTGTTTGGCAACGCATGACGAGCACAGTGGTTTTGAAGACCCATGATTCTCTTGTCCTGAATTTGATGAAATTCTAGGGACCAGAAGAGTTTTACTCACTCCTACTGCTTGGTCGAACACGAAGTGGTTGGGATTGGCGTAGGCGGGGAGTGTGCATATTTCTAGGCGGCGACCAATTCAACACGGTATATGATTTTAATTATATGGTTTTTGCATCGATCTGTTTTAGTGAAAGTACAACAGAGTAGATATTGCGAGTCTGGTAATCAAATTTCAGTAAGAAGTAACAGTCTTTATGTGATCTAGGAGATATAATCAATGTAAGGCAATATCGCCTTAGGAGACGTGAGAAGGTTTTGTTCACAACTATTTTTCTCGTACTGGCGAATACGTCATTTTTAATGCTTATTTATTTTGCTGATGTTCTGCAATAGTGCTCCCTGAATCATACTAATTTTGCGGAGTTTGTCTTTGGAGCAGCTTATCCTGGGATGGAGGTTAGGTTACAAGACGGTAGTATACGCAGAAGACGCAGCACGATGGCCGGGGTACGTGCTGTTTCGTTCGTCACCCTCTCCCCTTCTTCTCTTACTCCTATTAATAGAAATTGGTGACGACGGAAAAGAAACTTGCTTCTCTTTGGGTCAACCTCATATTCAAGCATAGTCCTAACAACCGATAATATCAAACTGTCATCTGTATGCTTCAGCGAAATGGAATGGTTGCTGATAATATTCTGATCAATTTATTCTGTCTCGCATCATTCTTGTTCTCACTTTTGCAACATTATTCTGCTGTGGCCATGAGAGCAGCTTTGTAGATTTATACATGCTACGTTCCGAAGAGCTCGTGTTGGAAGTGCCGCAATGGGCTCGCAGCCGATGCCTGGTTGTTGGAGACCTTTTCGTAGATGCAGTGGGATGTTCACCTTCATCAATCTCCTGGAGTTTATCTGACAAACTGCAGTCTCGGGCGCAAGATAGGAATGTTGTCCCAATTGTTGGTCTTCTGCCGGGTTCCAAGGTAGCTCTTGCACGGCTGGTGTACTGTATAATCTCTGTTGGAGCAGAAACTTTTTAGCGTATGGCGTGTTTTTTAGCAGCATGCTCCTGTGAATATTGAAGGCTCCTATTAGTTGCTACTATGTTTTTGTTTGAACCAAGGAATTTTTTTCTGGTTTCATGATCTTCTGTACTCACATGCGAGGTGGCAATGACTTAAATGATGGCATAATCTAACCTGTCATTTTCAATTTAGGACCTGTCATTTTTTGAGGAGGGAATGAGTTCTGTTTCAAAGTGTATGATTCTTTACTGAAATTACATAAATCTGCATTAATACAGAATTTTCTGTTTACAGGATGCAAAATTGGCCATTGGCGTCCCCTATTTTATGGCGGTCGCAGATCATTTACATCAACTGTAAGCTCTTTTCCAACAAATTCCACTTGATTTCAACCACTATCCTTTGATATTACTCTGCTATTGTAATCATCATTCATTTTGGACCAAGGTTTTGGTTTAATGCCTTGTCTGGTTCGCTTAAGCCTGGTGTTTCATTTTTGTGATATACTCCTGGACCTTGATCTTTTGAACATGTCTTTGCAAAACACTAAGATAGTTAATTTACTCGTTATTATATACAATGGGCATGAAAGTATATATGAAATATGTAGTATTAGTAATATTACATATTGTGTGAGGATTCCCACTGATACGGGGTGGGTTGGCAGGATAGTTTGCAGGGCCAGGTGCGGTTTGTGCTACCTTTGGCTCCCACTGTTACCGTGACTGAGCTTGAACGCTTTGCCGATGCAGCTTCCAACCCCCTCATATCACGTTTTCACTGGTCTTCTGGTCACTTCGTTGGGAAGCAATCTGTGAAAGTAGAGAAAATCTCAAAATTGCGGCAAGAAGAACCTGAGGAAGGGTCAACTTGGAATTCATCGGAGTTACTCAAAGTTGAAGAACTGGGGCAGCTAGTGACGGAGGGAGGGGTGGTCATAGATATTCAGCAGCAATTCCCGCCATATTCTCTTTATCAAGGCTGCTCCGTCTGTCTTACAACAGTACTACTCTGTCTCCTTAGAAGCTCCAAGCTTCTTACTCTTTCATGATCTAGCTCATTCATGGTTGAGCTGGGTCTCGAATTTCCTCTTAGATGCTGGTACCAGCGAGCAACAACAGTTTAACTTGAGTTCGCGATGTTGATGTCAATTTTTCTAACACATTGTGCAAAATTACCAATGTGTAGGTAATAATCATTTCGTGTGTTTGAATGTGCAGGTGGGTACAAATACGGCAGAGCTAGGGACATTAGGTGTCCCCATGCTTGTGGTATTGCCGACTTATTTTCTTGAGGTATTCTTAACCACTATTGTCTAATAGCATACGAGTTACGCTCAAACTTTCGTATTGAAATGGGTTCTGTAGAATCGAAACATTTGGTTTGGATTTTCAATAGAAACACTCCTACTTTTCAGTGAAGTACAGATATGTCTACATAAATATGACAACATTGACGTCGTGTACTCTGTTGATGCTTAAATTCGAATTATGTGCAGACTTTCAGGGGAGCGACAGGAGGAATACTTGGCCTGCTATCAGCAATCCCCGGTCAGGCTGGTGCAGCGATGGCTCACTTTGTCAACCTTTTCATACTCAAAACAGCCGGGTTTATCTCGTGGCCCAACAGGTAATTCACCTGGCTGGACATTAATTATGACTCAGCAGGAATCTGAAGGCCCTATCTCGGATTTGATACGTGAACACTCCATCAGAGATGCTATACTTGTTTTTAAACCACTACCACCATTTCCTACTATGTTCTACCAAATTTGCTACTTTGGTACAGTTTCTTTCTGGAAAAATAATCGATCAATATATGACACGTGTTGGTCAACGTACATCCATTTCCTACAATCCTTGTCAGGGTACTAGGATGAGTAAATAACGCGGTTGTTACGAGTACATAAGGAAATTTGCGGATGTGTTGCAGGTGGGCTGGAGAGACAATTGTTCCAGAGCTTATTGGTGAGATCGATCCTCAGGAAGTAGCAGCTTTAGCTGCTGAATATCTTCAATCACCAGACCGACTCCAAGCAATGCACGAACGCCTTCTTGACCTCCAAATGCCGCGGTCTGTTTCCAAAGGAGGCGCAGCACATTCCATCGCAGTCGCTGTTCAGCAATTATTATAGTATGTAGCGTAGAACCTTCCTTCTTGCCTACCCAGTATTTGTGCAGATACATGAATGGCAAGTTTACTTGAGCGCTCTGCCTAAAGAATTACTGACATCAATGTTATTCAGGTCGACATCTTTTCTGCTTTGGAAGAAGTTGATGTGACTCATTGTTTATAATTCGGTCAGCAAAGCCACTTTTTATCCTAATTATTTTCAAGGATGCATCACAATTGTTTAATTCTGCTGAGCGGTCCTTGATGATCTAATGGAAGCGTTTTAATATGGAGTGTTTTTCTCTTGTTTGGATCAACTCGCATATCTGAGATGGATACAGCTGAAATATGTCAGGTTCTTTGTAGATAACGCTATACGTTCAAAACAACTCCAAGTTCTGTCTTGCTCTTGATTGGTAGAACTTGCACGACGTGGCAGAAACATTAATTGCTCTTGGTCTGGGCCTATCTTGTTCATAGCTAAATGATGATTAGAGTTATGTAGAACGGATAATAATTGTATCTAACATGAAAACTTCATAGGATTCACATCGTTTTAGGGTTGAAACCCCAATCGATGTGAACCGGAAAATAGTATCCTTACACGCGGCATTGGCTTTGAAGCTTGTCCCACTAATAACTCAGCCATCTGTTTGTACTCTTGATTGAGTATTGGGTCGGATAAGTTAGCTGTTGTAATAGTATGTAAGTGGATGATAACAGAACATGCAATGGTGGACAACACTGATATTGATGTTTTGCAGAAGCAGTTGCGTGCGAAGGCGAAGCGACAAGTCGTGAGCAAGCGCATGCCAACAGTCCAGTTTCGTCTTTGATGAAAACACTACTTGTGTATCGAACAGCTTTTCTGCTGTTTCATCGTTCTTATTAGAGAAAACTTACAGCCAATTAAGTTCAGGCGATTCCTGTTTCGCGTCGAGCCCTTGGGGCTACCTGCTGCTCCACTCCTTTGTGATAAAGTGTCGCCTTCGGTAACGTTGGCAATCACTGGCATATGACATTTGTCCACTGATCAATTCGTGCGGGTGGGTACTCTCAAGTTTACAGGAAGCAGTAATTATAGCTAAACCAGTGGCGCTTGCTGAATGAGTCATGATAAATCTTTCGATATTGTCTCAACTCTCCTTGCCATTCACATCGCCAATTAGCTGGTGCAACACGTTGCACAGCTGCTACAGTGGAGGATCGCGAAGAGAAATCGATGCAATATTTGATAACATCTTTAATGTATATTTTCTACGTTACGATACATGCTCAAGTTAAGGAAAGGCACATTTAACGTACATGTCTTTTATCTCCAGTCTTTGATTAGGAAATTGTTTGAGATTTACTACGTTAGGTGATCACCTAACGGCAGCGTAGCATGTAGTACATATCTAATAAACCGGTTCTGAGAACTTACTTAGTTATGTACATTTCTCAGGATAAATGAGTTCTGAGAATGTACTAAACAAATCTACATATTTTATTTAATCAACAAGAATTTAGAATTGGAGGCGCAGAGGGGTTGAAACAATCAGATAAACTTTCCACTGACATTAAACATCTAAAACTCTACGAATGTGTGAAATAACAAATGTCCACCACTCCACGGATGTGATACAACAAATACAACAAAATTGAGCTGGAAGAGTCAATGCACCGGTAAAATAGACATGTACACATCACCAGCAAAGAGCCACTTTGAAATGACAACCTAACTAGTCATAAGACAACTAAATCTAAAAGTGGAATTTGTCAGCTAGCAGACTTCGCTTTGGGTGGACGACCTCTCTTCTTCGGCGTCGGCGTAGTAGCGGCGGTTTCGGCGTCTCCTGAGCCATCCTCAGCTTCAGATTCAGCTTTGGCCTTGGGAGGACGACCTCGGCGCTTTGGTGTGGCACCACCTTCCTCCGTCTTACCCTTCTTCGCAACCTCCACCTCTTCTGCAGCTTCAGGCTTAGACTTTGGGGGCCTACCCCTCCGTTTAGGAGTAATAGGACTGGATAGATCCTTCTTCTCAGAATCATCCTCTTCGGAAGCCTTGCTAACCGATTCCTTGGAACCATCAGTCTTTGTCTTTGGAGGCCGGCCTCTTCGTTTGGGTTCACTAGGACTTTCCTTCCCGGTCTCTTCTCCTTCACTGGCAGCAGAGGAGGTTTTCAGCTTTGGAGGTCTGCCCCGCTTCTTCGAGCCAGGAGCCGCAGGACTTTCGGTTGCAGGGCTCTTCGCTGGGCTGTCATTTTTGTTTTTCGGAGGTCGACCCCTGCCACGTTTAGGTGTTTCGGTGACGCCTACTTTCTCTTCAGTTGCCTCTTCCTCGGTTGCATCGGCAGCCTCCTCCACATTCCCACCACCGGCAATAGGTTCTGCCACGCTGTCATCATGTGGTATCTCCTCTTCAACAGCTTGTCTCGTCCTGGCACCTTTCAACTCGGGTCCAGTATACTTCTGTACATTGGCAACGAATGCTGACGACTGAACCCATAGTGCAATTGTTAGTAGATGCAGATACTATCTCAAGCGCTTGTAGCAACAAACCATTTCAGCCAAGTAAACAGAAATTGCAGCCAAAAGGTAGTCTGGAATTAGAACCACTTACCCTTCCGCTAATGCTTATAGTCTCAATCTGGTTTCCTGTGGGAGAAATGGGGGGAAAATTTAAAAGATGCGTGAGTAAGCTTGCAGTGACCAACAAAAAAACTAGTAAAAATTCCAGGATACCCCGACAATTATTCGTTCCTGCCATAATTTTCAGATGCAAATCCAAAAACAACATAACTTGCTAAAAACACGTACCATCAATCATTCCAGGCTTCTTATCCCAACGATGGTGGTATAGCCAACTGCGTGGAAATTGCTCGCTATCTGCATCCACGGAAATCGCCTTTTCCAAAACCTAAAGAAAATTCACAAGCGCAAAACAGGGATAGATCCAGGCAATTAGTTTTGAACGAATCCACATAAAATCGGTAGCCTGGAACGCTTTTATCTTCCATGACAACAAAAATGTAGGAGGTTACATAACTGGAACTATAAAACTGGAGAGAACGCTGATCCACGTCTCCAGTATTAATTTCTTTTTTGAAACTTTTAGTATTACTGTTGAGTGAATATAGTAAACTAATTGGACAAAAATACGTTAACCCGAGCACATACCTCCCTTACGGATGCGTGTAATCTGGTGACTTCCTCCTCCTTTAACGAACTAGCAGACTGCTCAGGGTGAATTTTCGCCTGAAAGAATAAATCTTCGTTAATGTTAACTACAAAACTTCACCAGATTCACATCGCAAGACTACATGACGCAATAACTTTCATCACAACACTGCAAAATTGTCATATCTATGTGTAAACTTGACATGGCTCAGAGTGGTAATGCCCGAAGGTGTCAAGTATGAATTAAAGGAACCGGTATTGACAAGAGTTCAAATGGAATATATCCCACTCCAATGGAAATGAAAGGTCCAAGCCATACATGATATAATACTTCATCTCCCACCCAATTTCCTATGCCTGCTATGAAACTCTGCAATCACAAGCGCACACCCACGAATATTACTTCAATGCCGACCATGCCAAGAAATGTTCAACGCGTAACATACACATACTGTCAGTTTCTCAATAATTAATCCATACGTCCAAAGACAAGAATGTATAACCACGGAAAGGCCTACGAATTGAGAAGGCACGGACGCATCAGCGTTCGGTGACACGTCAGAACTCTTACATAGTTCGTATTAACGAAAAAAAAGATGAGTCGCATGGAAACAAGGCATATCATCTTCTGCAGAATCAGTGCCGACCACTATATAACGAAACATTCCAGCTGTTATCCTCTACCTGATCAAGAAGAAGAGCTTTGACGGATCCTTTCTTGGTCTTCATTGCTTCGATCAGCTGTTCCGCAGATGGAAGCTCAAGATAGGCATCGAATCCCAGTTCGGATATTGGGGGCACCTTCGAAGGCTAAGGATACAGGTGAAAAGATAAGTAGAGTACTTCTAAGCCCATTACTCTGCAAGATTCATTACATACTGGAGACGTGACAAACATAGAGTTACTTCATGCGCCGAGAGGTATGCAAGCTCGACTTCTACGGCTTTAAAAAAGTGAACGTAGGGGGTAAGGAATACGTACATCTTCAAGAAGGCGCACACGGGCAAAGCGACGTTTATCAGTAAATGCCAATTCTACTCCAGTGCTCAGCTGCATTCCACCAGGACATCTAGAATTGTCAAAGACTCGATAACTCTAACTACCTAACCGCTATAGAACTCGGGTGCTACTTGTGAGACGGGAAACCAGTTCTGAGAAAGTTAATATGAGGTAGACAGAGGTTAAAGGACACAATTTCCAGCACTTAGTACACTGATACGCGAACTATTGTGCGACATCATGAATGCGAGTAAACTTAACTCGACAGCCGACTAGTAGTCACTAAAAGGTCCCATTCAAAAAGGTTAGCACCGTCAGGAGAGAACAAGGATTGTTGAAGGTACGAATAGCAATAGCCTGCGCGGTTGGCATGCATCAAATCCACAAAAGGAGTGACGTAAACTGAAAAACACAGCCTTCAACTTCATTCCAAAATATCACATAGTTCGGTAGAACCTATGAACCACGCGGAAATGTATTGATTTATCTTAACTACTATTAGAAGATATTAGACGAGAAGAAAGGAGGCGAACACACACCACCAAGTGCACTTTTGAGTAAGTCGTCGGAAATGCTTCTTCTTCGTCGCCCACCTTTGAGCTGCAACATTCAATCGGAAGCTGTCATTGTACTGACCAGATATGATTAGCCCTTAAGTGGTTTGGAGACTCGTGGACCGGGGGATACACTAAAGACATCTTGAAACTTGTTGACACGTATTTAACGTATTTTCCCATGGTGTAAAGGGTAAACAAATGAGTTTCGTGTCTCATAAAAGTCCAGTTGACGAAGGACAAATCTAAGGTTAGCAGGGTCTAAAGAGAATCAAAAGCCTCTCGAGAGAACTGAAATCCTAAATCAGGTTGGCCACCTGCATGTCACAGTGCGTATAGATAAAAAGTGCTTAAAAAAATGTCCGTGCTACATTTGTGTTCTATTCATTTCTTCAATATCTATTTTCTTTTATTTTCCTTTTTCAGCCCAGGGAAGGTATGATGAACATAAAATCTGCGCCTCAACATCAAACCCACATACTTCTGAACTTACTTAAGAGGTTACTAGAAGCAAAATTATACATTTACCTCCTGTACTGTGGACCCTTAACGCCCTTGATAATGACCGCGCCGCTCATGCCTGCATGGTCAAGTGCATCAGAAAATTTCGAAAGACAAGGGTCTCCAAGATTAAGACGACAACAGGTGACTTCTCAGACTCACGCACATTGCACCCCGACCGTTGGAAGAGAGTTCCTCATTTACCAGATCACACCAATCGTTGACGTCAATAACAGACTGTACAAGGCACTCACGCTAGTGTCCCTTCTACAAGCACACACATACTGCGAGTAGTAGGCCATGTGAACACACGTTGACGTCTATACCACTTTCCAAAGGTCGTCAGTAGTGCCGTTCAGAACGTCATCAAGAACGAGAGCATCAAAAATAGAAGAGCAAAAAGGTCATCCAAAACAAGGCTTAGAAGAAACACACCGAACTGGAAGGAGGGCCACGGGGGAGAATCGAGTTTCAGCCACAGGTGCTTGCCCTTCCGGTGGGTGCTTAAAATCTTTTTTCCTGTCAGGCTTTCCTGGAGCGCGGCCGGTGTCACTCCATCGATAACTTTGGTGTCGTTGTCCACAACGGCCTTCACAATCGTAGCCCCAAGACAGTGGCTATCCAGCAGCCTTTTGGCTGCCTCCACCTCCGGCAGCTCTGGCATCTTGAACCACTCTAAAAAAATTCCTCAGAATAATCTCAGCGCTTCCCCTCCCTGGTTATCCCTCTACGCCTCCCCACTGTTCACGAAACCCCAAAAAATACCCCACCCAACGGCTTCAGAAAGACTACTCCACGAGGATCCCTATACCCCTTCGAATACACTAGTTCCTCCCCGCTATCCAGCGACGACAGCTCCGTCTTCACAGCGCCGCAACCCACCGCGAAATTCTCCAACAAAAATTCCGCAACCCCCTTCTTGGAAAACAATTTTACATATCTACTACTCCACTCCCAAGGCGAGAACTAGTACCTCCTAGAGAGAATGCATCAACCCTTTAGCGGCGATTCCGGGTTCCGAAAGCGCTCGGCTAGCACGGCGGCGTGCCAGCGCCTTCCCGGGCAAACCAAGGCTAATAATCAACGATGGCGCCCGCCACCAAAGTTCAAAATGCTCGAAGAAGAAGGGGCAGGTTGGCAAGGTAGTCCCCCTTGAGTAGGTAGGTGGGGGGGGGGGGTGAGGAAACGGAGGAAGAGGTTTACTGTGGCTTTGCCCATTTACAGCACTTGCCCCACTTTCCCCCCCAGACGCTCCCCGCGTCCTGCCCAGGCTTCAGAATCATTACAACGCCTTCCGTGTGTCGGAGACGTGGAAAGCGGACGATGGGTCGATTCCCGCTCTCCCCATCTTCAGTAATGGAAACCTAAAATGCGCCGTGCCACAGTGCAGATTTTGGAACTCCCGCCTCACGCCTTTCCCTCCCTCGCGTGCCCGTGCGAGTCCTGCGTAAGCCTCAGCATCATTACTGAGCCTCACCACTCTCTTCCCACCCGATCATGACACGTCGAGGCTGTGCTCGTACCATGGCCTCTTCCTCACCGACGATCGCAGCAAGCAAACCTTTCAAGCAAGTGGGTTTTCCTTCTCAGTCCTGACACTGACAAACTGCACTTGCCCTTCGATTCTTGGCTCATTTACTGGTTCGTTACGCGCAGTGGGAGGCTGCATTGATGTTCATGTGCCGTTGTTACGTTTTTGCGGCGTGTGGATTTCAGGGCCTGTTTTGGAACACGGCGATGCGGAGGGATGTGTGAGGAGGGCTTTCGTGGATTAGGACTCGGCCTAGCTGATGCTTGGCTTGTGACAAATTGGATGATCAGTTTACGTTCAGATTGTGCGAGTAGGAATTGACGTTTTGGTAGTGCTCAATTGGTGATGAGTTGATCTCGGATTGTGGGATTGTTGGAATTGAAGAGATCGTGCCCTGACTAGGTGGTGCATTGGTTTAGAATCTAGAAGGCTGATTGAAATGCTTCTGTTGTCTTTGCAAGTATCATGCTGGGTTTCGTTGCATAAATTTGTTGCACCTTATGATCCCAACTGGTACTGCGTATGATATTTGGTCATGTTGCTACGTTCTTAGACTGTCGGCCAGTGAGTCGTTCCCGCGTTTTGTTCAAAATCGTTAACAGTGAACACCTTGTACGTGGAGGACTCTTCTCTTACTGAAATTTCATTTTATCCTTTTTATGTGAAATCTCATAAGTTGGCAACCAGCCTGGAGAGCTAAAATCACAATTTCTGGTATTCAGTGCAAAGTATTATTGCATCGATTAGTGGTCGCCTGTGTTTGATAGAACTGTCTTCTGGGTAATTCATCTGATGGCCGTTTATCTGATGGATCCATATTAAAGCATTCACAGGATTTATTCATGTAAACGATCTAATGGATTTTTGGGATACGTGATCTCAGCGAAACAGATCTCAGTATTCAGATGGTGGAGCTTACATTACCGAAGCGTGGGCAAATACGAAAACTCAAAAATAAAAATAAAAACAAAAAAGATTAAAAAAAAGAAAAGAAAAAAAAAAGTACATGATGGATATCTTGGCAGCAAACAGGAAAGTTTCGTTTGAAGGAGGTTGGAAACAGCAATTCTGTTTTGCCAGCTAGACACAATTCGAAACCCTCATGTCATAGTTGAACTTGATTCAATGAAGAAGCAGAACGACCAATTACTTTTGCCTGTTATCTCTCACGTATCTGAGCTTGAAGCAGGTGTTCGTACTCCTCCTCACACCTTGGGAAATTTTCAAGTACCTTGTATTTATTAATGATTCTGGATTGTGTCTCAATGTATCACAATCAAGTTGCGGAATTTATGAGTATCTTTTCTGTAAGGGTTCGGTTGAAGCCCATTCGCAATGACTTCTGTCGTCTCTCTCGAAATTCACGTTAGTGCAGGTATTAACCAATGCTGGCATTTCCCGTTGGAAGCCTCACCACACCAAAAAAAACTTGTGTTGAACAACATCCACCAATCTTGAAGACATTGAAATTGTTCCAGTAATGCATAGTAGTGGTGTTTTCCCAATTATATTCGTTAGTTTTGTCGATATTGTGTTTCTCCACTTGACCACATCTCGTGTGGTGAGTATATCTCCTGTGGCGAGTATATCGTGTGGTGAGGTAATTTGCGCACATCACACACGACTGTGGTTGCTCTTCATGTAGACAAGCAAGGATCAGTACCGTTTGTTCTCTCCCACCTCTCGTTTGTGTACTGCATTTTGATATACTCGGGAACCCAGGTCGAAGTCATGGAAATAAAGGTATGGGCACTTCGAGGAGCTATTGATTTGATCACACCTGAAGAGTACTCAATAGCACTGAAGACCCGCAATCACCAATTAGGGCTATGGGGGAGGTGCAAAACTATTTAGGAAGAACCGTGGGGTATGATTTAATGATCCAGTAAAGCTCTTCACTACAGCTTCCCCACCTTGCATTCAAGTAATGCAACAGATTTTGATTTCAAGTAATGCAACACATGTGTCATTTCTGTCAAGTTTGTTTCGCACCATTTGTACGACTACTGTCTGATTGTACAGATTCATTTTGGAGCAGTAAGTTATGTGAGCAGCTTGAGGATTGAAGATTGAAATGATTGTCCTTTTAACTTGTCTGGTATGTTTGTTTGGTCTGATATTGCTTCCTACATCCTTGTGCTACCTTGTGCTTGTCTGCACTGTGCCAAAAGTAAGAGGTCTTAACTGCTATCCTAACTCTTTAGTGTGCTCGTTCATATCTGTTGACATGACTTAGTGCATTCGCTTGTTTTAAGTAGTGCACATAATTTCTTACTGAAAACTCTACACCTGGTTTTTGCGTTCAGAGCTGCTGTTAATTTCACACAAAGGAGTTGTGGGGACATCTTGTATTAGGCACTCTTCGTAGGTGCCAGACAACGTGCGGAGCAAAACCCTACTCAGGTGGGAAGGTAATATGTACAAGGTAGCCTAAACTGCAATTCAAAATAGTGAATTTGAAGAGAAGAGGATCCTTCTTGGGAGAGACTATCATGACATAACTCACAGTTGACTGTGTATCAGAAGTGGAATTGGGATTGAGATCCTCCCTTTCAGCTTCTTGAATCCCAAGAGACTATTCTCAAAATGCTTCAGCCAACTTCAGTTAGTCTCACAGTTGATGACCTCTTGCAGACAATTCTGATACTAGTTCCTATGCGCTTGCCCCAACAAGATACTCACAGGACATTGGACTCCAAGACACCAAAAGTCTCATGATTTTGGTTCAGACTTGAAATATGCAACGGTTTGATAATACCATGTTCTTCGTAACATATATCTATAGGATTTTACTTACACCAAGCTTTCCAAATTTCTAAAATCTCAATAGGGCTAGCTTGCATTGACCACAGGGTGTAACGATGGGCAATTCAATTGCGTTCTCCTTCATGCCCACGAAGCACTTGACAATCCAAGAGTGAAGACAAGGGAGGTTTAAAATATGTGAATCATGACCCCAGGGTTGTTATTCTCCCAAGCTTAGCAAATCCAAGTTGATTATGCAGCCACATAGCCGAAGTGTCCTGAGACCAATCCCCCACTTCAATGACCCCTTTCTGAGGAGAGCTTTGCTAGAGCTGCTTGAACTCACGCATCTCTGCAGTCAGTTGGGATGAAATGCACATGTTCACAGCAAAATCAGCGCCAGCCATGGTGGGTCATGGCATTGCTGGTGTATAAAGTGAGCACTTCCTGTACCCACTGTCTCCATAAGCTTCAAATAGAAACCTTGATGTCATGCTTCATGCCACACTTCTCACCTTTGCCCACCCTTCTCATACTGTCAATGGCTTTCGAACTTCTTCCCATTCTTGTTGTACTCACCAACATGGCATTCTTGACAGCAGCTAACAGTAAAATCTTGATGGGCTGCAGGAGGAAAAGCAGAAGATTCAATGGTGTCACATTCCGACACCAGTGGCTCAATTTTCATCATCTGTGATTTTTGATACGTCAATGTATGTTTGATGAATTCAAAGATTTGTTGCAAAGTGTGTGAATTGAGAGCATATTGAAATTCTTCTGTAACCATCAGAGTGTGGCTACCAGTGACACTTAGTTTTGGTTAATGAAATCTGTGTTGTGGAATTGTTTAGTTACGAGTTTTTGCCCTGAGTATGATGCAGACAAATTTCAATGTGCTCTTAATTTTTTGTGAGTCATGTTTATGATTGAATTGTATAGAAGGTTTCGTTTAACTTTTTTTAGGTAATACTTTTGGGTCGATAATGTGTAGCTAATGACATATAGTTCTCTCATATAACGCTTACATAATTATAACTTAATTTAATCTCTTTTTAAAACTACAACTCTATGTTTTAAGCACTTAGAATGTTAGATATATTGTAATGTTACAATGGAATACTTGATTTGTTTAAATGTTATTTTTTCTTTCTTGTATAAAAATTACTCTATTCTTGTTTAAATTGACTCAAATAGGTTAGATTGGTGAATTTAGTTTTCTTGATTAATCAAATTTCTCTTGGATATGTGTATAAGTATCAAATACATCTTAATTAAGTGACATATGCATTTGTTTCATCTTGGTCTAATGTACACTTTTATAACATAATAGAATGAACAACTTTTAAGACCATTAAAATATGATTATTTAACATATTATAAACCTTAATATGGTGTATCTTCTTACAAAAGTTATTAATTTTTTCACAATAATTATAAAACAAATGACTTGATTTGCTACAATTAGACCAATTAAGTGGTCCATCTTATAAATTTAATACTGTATTATTATAAAGCTAAATTTTATTTATTTTTTTGTTTATTTAAATTTTACAAAAAAAATCATATTATTAATTTTATAATTCTAATCTTTAATGCAAAAATTAAATATTTAAATGATAGCAATGGGTTTTTTTTACTAAGGTAAATAAAATGATTTTATATGTTTTTACAACATCTATAAATGAAAGACTATCTATAAACATTTTCATCTTTTTAATATGTTATATGAGGTTATTTGATCTTTATGTATCTATTGTATAAAATATATATGTCAAAAAATAAATGGTGGCTAAATTTTTGATCTTATAAATGCTATATATATATATATATATATATACATATATATATATTTTAAATAAACATCTCATAAGATCTAATTTGTGCAATTTAAAAATCAACTAAGTGAGTATTAAAAAAAATTAAAAGACCATTTTTATTGCAATAATTTTGTATCAACATCACTTACATAATTCTTTTTTATTTCTTCTATAATGTCCAAAAATATATATATATATATATATATATATATATAAATATATTTATTATAAATTTTTTATTAAAATATTCTATATTTATTTTTTAATATAAACTTTATTGCATTCCATAAGATTTATCTTATTTAATTAATAAAAACACCAAATATACTTTGTCTAATATATATACAAAACTTTATCTTATGATATGAATCAAGAATCACTTATGTAAGCACCATAAATTTCCTCTTAATTCAATCATCATGTTATTGTCAAGAATTTAAATCTCATAATAGTCTTTAGTAATATATGTTAATTTAAAACTAAATATAATATTTTTAAACTGTAGAACTTGATCCTAAAAGTTAAATGAATTAGAAATAACTATCTATAGAAAAAATCATTAACATATATGTTTAATAACAAGAAGTAAACTTTTGAATAAAGTCATGAAGTTAAAGTAGATAGACTTATTATTTCTATCAAAGTTCAAGAGTAAATGTTATTTTTATTTTTATTTTATTAAAAATACAAAATATTTAAAAATATCTAATTATAAAAAATCAATTTTTTTTAATAGTTGTTGTACTAGTTCAACTTTTCTAATCAGAAATAGCATTGAAGACAATCTTATTACTTAACATTGTTGAAAATTGTTTTTTTGAAGAACAAAGAACAAATAATTTTTTTCCTTCAATGTAGAAATAAGTTTACATACACTTCTGATTTTAATTACTTATAAGCAAAGAGAAAATTAAGTTTGGATTAAAATTGACATTCTTCTCCAAAGTCTATCCTTGGATTGTCTTTTAGCATTTACATAAATTATTTTTAAAGATATTCCTATGTTCGAATTTTAATTGTTTGATTTAGTGTTAAATTCATACATCATATTATAAATCATATAAAATCAATAAAAGTGCCAATAGTCATTATAATAAAGACCAAGATTGTATTCTTAATATTTAGTAATAATTCATCAATTTATTATAAGCTCTAAACTCATGTCA